CTACACTCTCTAAGGATAGTATTTTCTAAATTTAATGTTTTTGTATCCCTTTAAATGTGTAAGTACACCGTTTTATTCCCTTAAAAACTAATTTTCGAAAAATCTTATTTTAGTGCCRCTTTACACCTCTAAAGAATGTTATGTTTATATCTTTGTTTAAACATTTACACCCCATTTAARCCCCTTACAGATTGATTCTTTCTTTCATCCAAAATTTTTATTTATATCTCCGTTTAAATGTTTACACCCGAGTCACCTTTCAGGCAGGCCAGCTTAGTTGGGGAACCCTCTACACATATAAATATTTACCATATGTTAATGAAATGTGTTTCAAAGGATTTTTAATGCAATTTTATGTAGACTCCAAACTTTTAAAGTCCTACAACAAAAATGTAAAGGACCATTTTTGTAGGAAATTTTGTTTTAATTTTGCTAAGAAGATAAAACCTATAGGAACAATAGTTTCCGAGATATAAGCAAAAAAACAAAAAAAGACACCTTTAGCCTCCTCCCCCTCTTCGAGCTCGCCCCCCACCTTCGGGGACTTTTGATATATGTCTAAGTCCAAGTATAAAGAAAGCGTTTAAAAAATAATTCAACTGTCTAGGGTTTTTTTCCACCGATTTGTCTAATTTGACTGGGCTAAAGAGGAACAACAGCGTTTTAATTGTGTAAATTACAGATCGGGGATTTGCTCATCTCCCATCCCGGAACCGATGATTTGAAAATAACCGATTTTGGGTTAGCGAGGAGGATCCATAGGGATAACTTGGCCCCACTCAAGTACGGTGTTCCGGAGTTTGCCAGTCCGGAAGCCGTCAATGGGGAAGGAACAGGTTTTGGGCAAGATATGTGGAGTGTTGGAATTATCACCTACATCCTCCTATCGGGACGTTCACCATTTAGAGGAAACGACGATCGAGAAACTCTAAAGAATGTCCAAGCCGGGAAATGGATCTTTGACGAGGACTGGTGGATGAATATTAGCGTCGAAGCTAAAGATTTTATTTCGAAACTCCTAGTGTACCAATCGGAGGGTCGAATGGACGTCCATGCAGCCCTAAGACACCCGTGGCTAGAAAGAGCAGATAAAATCTACTCAGATGAGTACAGGATCAGTAGCAAGTACCTCGAGAGTTACTACCGACTATTCAGGTGAGTTATTTATTTAAATAACTATTTCAAAAGAGAAATAAACTTAGACTTCTTGAAATACATTGATTTAAATAGAACGATTTCTGGCTTCAAATTTATTACAAATGGCTCAAATTTCTTTATTTTGGCAGAAAATGAAGATTGAAAATTGAGATGTAAACAATTATTTTGTTTAAATATATACATTGATTTAGAATAATTTCTGGGTTAAAATCGAATAAAATTGGATAGGAAATTTATTTTAGCAGAAAACTAAAATCTGAAATATATTTATTTAAGTTGATTTTTGACTTGAAATCGAGCCAGATCAATTGAAAATAACACAGTATGCTTTATTTTGGTTGAAAATTGGAATTTAAGCATTTATTTTGTTACATTGCATTCATTTAAAATTATTTTTGGCTTCAAATCAAGCAAAAATTTATTGGAAGTGGCTTAAATTACTTTATTTTGACAGAAAACCGTTATTTAAGCATTATTGTGTTGAAATACATTGATTTAGGTTGATTTTTGGCTTAAAATCGAACCAAATTGATTGGAAATAACTTAAATTGCTATATATTGATCGAAAATTAAGATTTAGTTAAGCAATTACTTTGTTAAAACACATTGTTTTAGAATTATTTTTACGGGTTAAAATTGAGCAAAATTGAATTGGAAACACTTCAAATCGCTTTATTTTGGTAAAAAAAACTGCAATTGAAGCAATTATTTTGTTGAAATACATTGATTTAGGTTGATTTCTGGTTTAAAATCAAGCCATATCAATTGGAAATATTTTAGCGCAAATGACTTCATTTTGTCCGAAAATTGAAATTTAAACAATTATTTTGTTAAAATACATTGATTTAGAATGATTTCTGGGTTACAATCGAATAAAATTGGATAGAAAATAGTTCAAATCGCTTTATTATGGAAGAAAACTGAATTCTAAACACTCATTTTGTTGAAATACATTGATTTAAGTTGATTTTTGGTTTAAAATCGAACCAAATCGATTGAAAATATCACAAAATTACTTTAATAAAATACCAATGTATTTTAGAATGATTTCTGGCTTCAAATCAAGCAAAAATTTATTAAAAGTGGCTCAAATTGCTTTATTTTGACAGAAAACTGTTATTTAAGAATTTATTGTGTTGAAATAATTGATTTACGTTGATTTCTGGCTTCAAATCGAACCAAATTGATTGGAAATAGCACAAATTGCTATATTTTAGTCGAAAATTAGAATTTAAGCAATTATTCTTCAAATAATAATTTTTTATATTAACAATAAAATCAAAGAAACCGATTTTTAAAACAAAAATTTTAATAATTTTTATTTTCCTTGTCGAAAAATCTAAGACGTATTCTAATTGGTTGTTTTTAAAAGACGTAATTGATTGGCTAAGGATCGAACAATTACACTCAACTTTAACGRATTAAATAATTTTTTACTTTTTATTGGTCTAAGTGCACAATTCATATTGGCTCTAGGGTTGGTTCTACCCATTGTGCAAAATTAAATCCAATTAAAGTAAAGGTAACTCACATTAAACGCTGATTTGTTATAAAAATTTGATTCAGAATTCAATAATTATTATTCACCATTTTTTAAATGGGCGGAGTTACTTATCGTTGCTAGTTTTTTGTTGGATTTTGGCCAATAAGAAATAAAAACCGGTTTGTTCTCACGATAGTGGTAAARGATTATTATTGGCCCTAGTAATCGGACCAATAAATTAACAAATGTGTCCAACCAATCAAATAAAAAATTTTGCAAAAACCTCACCGATAAAAAAACTATTTTAATTCAATTCGATTTTGCTATGAAAAAGACGCAAAAATAATGAATTTAAATTAATTTTTCCAATTAGCCACGAAAAATTAATGTTAGATAGGGGACTATTTCGTCAATTTTTTTCACAGTGGATTCCAAAAAAAATGCAGATTAAAGCTTTCATATTATGACTTTTAAAAAAAATTGATTTTCTTGAAGAGTATGGGCCGCGTTGTCGCGAAATGTCAACAACTGTCAGAAGTGTCAGAGTGAATGATTGAAAGCCAAAGCACTCTTAGTGATGTTTTTTTAAAACGTTAATTTAGGCACTTTTAGACTTTTTTTCTCTATGAAACTCTACTACTTTGTAAAATTATGATTGAATTTTTGTTTCTTATCTTCACTCAATCTCCACATTTTGCCGTTTTTTACTTTTAGTGCTTTCAAATTTTCCAAGAATCTCCAGGAAAAAACAATTGCTATCGCGTGACAAAGATGGTTAAATTAACGTTTTACACGGGTGTGAGAGCGTTCAAGCAGCTATAACGTTTTAGTAAGATATAAATAATTATTTTATTAAAACACATTGATTTAGAATTATTTATGGGTTAAAATCTAGCAAAATTGAATTATAAATTCTTCAAACCGCTTTATTTTGTTGAAATACATTGATTTCGAATTATTTCTTACTTGAAATCAAGCGAAAATCTATTAGAAGTGGCTCAAATTGCTTTATTTTGACATAAAAATAAAATTGAAGCATTTATTTTGTTGTAATACATTGATCTAAGTTGATTTCCGATTTAAATATTTTTAAAAATGTGACCCAAACATGTAGGGAATGGTACGACAACGCATCATGCAAGAAATGGTTCCGTCGTCGCACCCTTGAAAGCGCCTTCACTCACCCATCACGAATGGTGTACCCCCCTGGAGAATACGACTCGCCAAGAGCAACCCCATCACCCATCAAACCCCCACGATTGCCAACTTGGGAAGACCAACTCCCGACTCGCTCACCTCTCAATTACGAAATCGGTGCAATCAAATCGGAAAGTCAGTACGTATCCCACTTTTATGTTCCTCCCGTGTTTCATTTGTCCTTTTTTAGTTACCAAAACGGCCCCGACACTTACCTCCTCCAATTACGCGACGTGGATTTCCCGGTACGTCTCCGGGAGTACATGAAAGTGGCCGGAAGTCGAGGTCCAGGTGTCGGATATATTGTTTCAAACGAGAACGGATTCGACTGGCACGTAAGTTGACTTTTACGGTCATGTGCGCAAAACTGTGTGTTTTTTGTAGACCCCAACGATAAGAGAAAGACGCCGATTTACCGATATCATGGATGAGGAAATTGACGATGAAAGAAGAGCTAGAATCAGTAGATATGGGGCTAGTGACAGTTCTAATGCCAGTATAAGAAGGTTAAAACACGAACTCGGCTCCCGCCTCGACACATATGTCGAAGCTGAAGCCTATCTTGAAAGTAAGCAAGATGGCCGCTTGCCATTCTTCCGGGAAAAGCCCCAAATGACTGCAATGGTGGAAGGAAAAGACTTGGAATTGACCTGTTTTGCAGTCGGGGAACCAGAACCCATCATACAATGGTTCAAGTAATTGATTTAACATTAATTTTGGTTTTTTTCTTCACTTAAAATTCCAGAAACGACTCAATCGTGGCCGAATCCCACCGAATTAAAATCGACATTGACGAATTCGGGCGCTCTCATTTGAAATTCTCCCCGGCTCTTTCCTTCGATCAGGGAATGTACAAAGTCGTAGCCCGGAATAAAATCGGTCAGACTGTAGCACGAGCCCGGATTGTTTTCGGCTCAACACCGGAAGAACCGGACTCACCGGAAACCCCCCAAACCTCCGACACCGAAATTTTCCTCACGTGGAAACAGCCCCGATTTGACGGTAACTCTCCCGTTCTCTGCTACAGTCTCGAGTACAAACTCGCCGATGACATTGAATGGACCAAAAAAGCTGATAATATCGACCATGAGTTTTATCTCATGAGGGGGCTCACTCCCAGTAGCAGCTACATGTTTAGATTGGCGGCTCGGAACGCGATTGGGTGGAGCGATTTTGGGGTTCCTTCAGGAATGGTCAAGACTAAGCCAGTAGGGGCCCCCAGAGTACAGTTGAGTCCAGCAGTAGTCCATTTGCAGCAAATTACAGACAGTGGGGAACCGGTGGAAGTCCAAGCTAGGACTTACCCGGATTATGAAGCCGAGACGCATCCCGTAGAATGGGAGAATGAAAACGCACAAGAGAATTATAATTTCATTTCAGAGATTGCAAAAGGACAATTTTCGACGGTTTTAAAAGCGATTGATAAGCGCACTGATGCCGTAGTCGTGGCAAAAGTCTTGGATTTGACTAACGCTAATGATGTCGAAGGCGAATTTGCGGCCTTAAGGTCATTAAGACACGAAAGAATCGCCGGTTTGGTCGCAGCCTACAAGACTAGTTCAAGTCCAGTTGCTGTTTTTATTTTAGAGAAGTTGCAAGGTGCTGATGTTTTGACGTATTTGGCCGCGAAACACGAGTATTCTGAACAAACAGTCGCAACAATAGTGTCACAAGTACGGCTAATTTCATTTATTTTCACATTTGATGAGTTTTTTTAACAGATTCTTGATGGTTTGCAATACCTCCACTGGCGAGGCTTGTGTCACTTGGACTTGCAGCCGGATAACATCGTCATGGCGGGGGTTCGCTCAGTTCAGGTGAAATTAGTCGATTTGGGGGCTGCTCATCGGGTTACTAAACTAGGAACCAAAGTACCAATCGTGGGACATTTGGACTACATGTGTACGTGATAACAATCAACTGTGAATTACTTATCTTTATTTGAAATTTTTAGCACCGGAGGTGCTCAACGAGGAACCAGCTTTCCCGCAAACTGACATTTGGACAGTCGGGGTCCTCACTTATATTATGTTGTCGGGGGTCACGCCCTTCAAGGGGGTGGACGAAAATGAAACGAAACAGAACATCACGTTTGTTAGGTACCGCTTTGAGCATCTTTATAACGAAATAACGCAAGAAAGTACTAGATTTTTGATGCTACTATTCAAGAGACAACCAAAGTAAAATAGCCCATTTTTATTTTTTTTAACTGATGGGTTTATTTTTAGCAAACGGCTTTCGGCTGAAGAATGCCATGAAAATAGATGGTTATTGCCGACGGATTACATGATTAAGAAACGGGAACGTGCTGTATTTTTAGGCAACAGATTAAAGGTATGTTTGGTTGCATAACCGTCAGGGGTTTATTAGATTTTTTAGGAGTATTCAAGCGAATATCATAATGAAAAGACCCAAAAGGCTCAAGATATCACATCGAAATTAGGAGGTAAATTCAGTAGGTCACACAGCATACAGGAAGAATTGTTGACTGCGCCTTAAGCACTTTTAGAATGTATATATTGTTTATAATTTGAACTGCTGATTTATTTTTGTGTTATTTTCATTTCTGACTAATCTGTATAAACAAGAAATAAAATAGAAACGTTAATGTTATTAAAAATTTTATTTCAATTTAATTAAAACTCTTTTTTTCCTGTTCTAACAAAGACTTGAGGTGTTGGTCGATCACCAACTGGGGTTTTTCCTTAAACTGTTTATTTTTCATTATGTGTTGAAACATTTTTATTCCTTGCAACTGATTCTTTTTAATTTTTTTACTCTTCTCAATCCCTTTTTTCTTTTGTGGTTGCGTACTCTGTTTATATGGAATACTAGCCCTACTTTTTAACAAACTTTCCAAAGAGGGTAAAGCATCATGTAGAGGGTTCATATCACCAACCACCGGTGTTTTCTTCCTTTTGTCGTGTAGTTTTTGTTGGTTCAACACTTCAAATTTTTTCATAAGCATTTCTCGACGCAATTTCAATTTGTCCTTTTTTGAGAGACTTTTTCCAGATTCGGATTTAACAGATTTGAATGACTTCACACTTCCTACATCATCAAAGTTCATGTTTAGTGACTTAAAATCGATATGAACCCCTTCAAAAAGATTTTCCTGAGGTTTGATGAGTAATTCTGGGGTCGGGCCTGAAATAGATGTCTCGTGGGGCTTAGGGGGCTGCGACTTCGCTTCCAAGTGGAACTTTTTCCTCGATCTGCGCACTTTGCCCATTTTTAGTGTAAATTACCAATTAATCATAAACTGATGAGTTTAATCAGCGAAATTTTGAAGTAATTTTGAGGTTACAAGTTAAAGCACTGTTGGCAACACTGTTCAAATAAAAAAATAATAAAACTCTATTAAAAAAAGTATACAAAAACGTTTTTTTATTTCAATTTGTGGTTCAGTTTTTGCATAAAACAGAAATAAACATAACACAATTAACATATAACAATAATTAATTTTTATATTAAATACAAAAAATCCGTTCAGGGATTGGCACTCCTGCGCATAATTGACACAAAAAAGGTGACTACTTTGACATTTATTTAGGTTATAACAATTGTAGTTGCAAAACTCGATTCCGTCCATTTACTGCCATAAAACCCCCTTTTCGCACAATGGGGGCCTCATAATGATTATTTTTATAATTCGGAGCACCCGTAGCCTTAGCCAGTCGTGCCACAACCCCGATGAAGGTACATATTGGTGCCCTGTTGACCTTTTCTTAGTCGAGATTTTTTCAGACTAATTGAGCCCCTTGTGGCTGGGACATGAACCAGCAACTCATGGAACGTCTCTCACCGCAACCTGGGGGCTGTCCTCTAGTCCACTTGGGCCATACTTCCTCCGACGAGACAGCCCCTTGCAACGAGAGTTTCGAATGCAAACAATACTACCAGGCGCACTTTAACGAGCAACCAAGTAACCCCCTTGACCTGTCATCCTTATCCCTCGGAAGTGGCTATTGGGGTTACAGTGATGCTCCCAAGTACTACCGCGCCCCCTCGAATTACCTCCTTGACAATTTCACAAAGTTGGGCAAGTCGAGCCCCAGTCTTGACCAGGGGTACCACACCCTGGCCTTCGCCCCACCCGAAGGTAACATTTTCAAAGGGAAAAAGTATCAGAATAAGAATAATTCGTTTGATCGCTTGACTGATGAACTGATTATCCGGATTTTTTCGTTTTTGTCGAGCATTGATTTGAGCATTTGTGCCATGGTTTGCCGGAGGTTCAATATCCTGGCGTGGGTGCCCTCTCTATGGCGGATAATCAGACTCGAGGGGGACCACGTGAGGGGCGACAGGGCCATAAGGGGGATTCTGCGCCAGCTGTGCGGTCAAATGGACACGTGCCCCAACATCGAGCGCATCCACGTGACCTTTGGGGCCAAAATCTCCGACAAAAGTCTGCTCATGTTGGCCCGCCGGTGCCCCGAACTCACCCACTTGCAGTTAATCGGGTGCACAGTCACAAATAACGCACTTTTCGAGCTCGTCACTCGCTGTGCGAACCTCCAGCATTTGGACGTGACCGGCTGCGTGAAAATCTCCTGCATTAGTATAAATCCAGGGCCGGACTCGTCGCGCCGCCTCCAAGTCCAATACCTCGACCTCACCGACTGTTCGGGCTTGCAGGACAGCGGCCTGAGGGTCATCGTGCACAACTGCCCCCAACTCACACACCTTTACCTCCGCCGCTGTGTGCAGATCACCGACGCGGGGCTCAAATTTGTGCCCAGTTTCTGCACGGATTTGAAGGAGTTGAGTGTCAGTGATTGTGTCAACATCACCGACTTTGGCCTCTACGAATTGGGCAAACTCGGCCCTGTATTGCGCTACTTATCCGTGGCCAAATGCCATCAAGTGAGCGATGCGGGACTCAAGGTCATCGCTCGAAGGTGCTACAAGTTGAGGTATTTGAACGCGAGGGGCTGCGAAGCTGTCTCAGACGACGCTATTATTTTCCTTGCGAGGTCTTGCACTAGGTTGTGTGCTCTAGACATAGGGAAATGTGACGTCAGTGATGCCGGATTGAGGGCTCTCGCTGAGAGTTGCCCCAACTTGAAGAAGTTGAGTCTGAGGAGTTGTGATCTTGTGACGGATCGGGGGGTGCAATGCGTGGCGTATTTCTGCAGGGGGCTTCAACAGCTCAACATCCAGGATTGCCAGATCACGTTAGAGGGGTACAGGGCTGTTAAAAAGTATTGCAAAAGGTGTGTGATTGAGCACACCAATCCAGGATTTTTCTAAAAGCCATTTTATCAACTAATGTATTTTTATATTGAGATTGTTAACTATTTATTTTTGTATATTTTTGTATATTACTATTGGTCGGTCTTCTGTGAAATATAAAAGAACGGATAATTTTTTTGGAAAATCATATTAAGTTTATTTCCTCATATCATATAAATCCAGGGCCGGACTCATCGCGCCGCCTCCAACTATATCCTAGTCCACAAATGAGTGAAAATTCAAAAGGGAATAACTAACAAAATTTAGGTTTCTGAATTAGAGATTTTTTGTAATTGTAAAGATGCTACAAGTCTTCAGACGTTCAAACTTCAGGCCCACAATGACATATTTGGCGTTCAATTACTAAAAGCCAATTACTGAGAAGCATTGTTATTTATTTTGTCAAGAGTAGACGAAATGGAGATATTCCCTTTTGAATTTTCACTCCTCAAATAAAAACCCACTTTAGGGTGTCTAAAAAAAGAGGTTTTGTAAGGATTTTGGGTGTTCTTAAGGAGATTATGATCTTGTGATTTTTAACCGTTTTTCGTGGTGGATACCCTTGGGGTGAATAATAATTCAACAATTCAGTGTAAATCGGACGCTTTATTTCACAAATGTTAACAAGTGGTTTATCATCCAGCGTCCGATTTACACGAAGACGAGTTGAATACAACATTTTATTCTTCGAATTGCTTTAAAACTGTTAAAAATAATCTGACGTTTCGTATTGAGTTGCCAAAACTTCCTTACACTGGAGAATAACCGTAAATTTTGACAGTGTCGAAGAATAAAATTTTTTTAAGGATTTTTGAATGATTTTCAATGACTTTTTTTCGCATGCCACATACTCTGGTCCAGAAGTGACATTTTATATACTACCATTTTATCAAGAAATGTATTTTTATATTGAGATTGTTAACTATTTTTTATATTTGCACATGCTAAGAATATTTTTTATTACACTTCTTACTCTACTAAATATTTGTGTCACAGATTTAGAAACAAACCACTCAGTCCTTAAAGCTACTTTCAATCACATTTTAGGCAGGAAGGAGATCAAAATCATCACTGACATGAACCATAGGAACATGATGTTCATCAATTGAAGGAGTCGACTTTTTATCACACAAACTCAGTTCTTTCATTTTCCACTCCCAGTCCATTTTTTGTACGGCATGCAACGATTCGGCTTCGTTGTGATGTCGCAACAACATGTGCTCTTTTATTTTCTCCCACTTGTCATCCACATCCTGCAACCAACTCAAAAACAACCTCCCTAAAATAAAACAATTAATTGCCGATTAACAAACGAATTAAAAAACAAAATACCGTTATATCTAGATCGGGCATTTCGATCTTTCTCCTCCTGTTCCGGCGTAATCAAATTATAAACCTCCTCGTCCCTCAAAATCGTACAAACCGAAAAAGGAAGTGACTGATTAGCAAGTGCACGCGCCGCTCGACCATGCACTCGTAAAATTTCTTGTTCAACGGACAAAACCAATTTTTCTTTTTCGATCACGTGCTGAAACGCAATTATTACAAACCCAAATCGCTGTTTCTTCCGATCATACCTGCATCCTCAGTCTGTATCTCTCCTTTTCTTGTTCAGTAAACAAATCTTTCATCTGGGGAGGTAAAGTGGGAGGATAGGAGATATTGGGGGTTGTGGGAGCAGTGCTTGCTAAGACATACGTACACCGATTCATTAAATAATCTTTGAAGCCTTGCGGTGGCTTAGGCTGGACCGGAAACAATCCTCTCCGCCTCTTATCAATCTGCTTCCTGATATTCAAAAATAGCTGATAACAGTTGGTTATGGGCTGGTCATGGGGGTGTATCTGCGCCTCAGCTGGCGTTTCCTGCGTCTCAGGGGGCGCCACCGGCACATCCTTATTTGGCTTCATCTTCCTCTTCCTTGGATGCAACTCAACCGGCGCCGTCGTCGTCGTACTCGTCGACGTCGTCGTCGCCGCCGTCGTCTCCGTCTCATTACTTGTCGTCGCTTGTGCGTCCGCCGTCTTCGACTGCGTACTGGCCGTCCCCGACGCCGTCGTCACCTCGTTTTGCGTCGACGGCGTCGCCGGCGAGGCCGACGGTGACGGTGAATGCGACCTCTGCAGCTGCGGCGACGAATTATTGCTCCCCCTGTCGGTGCCTTGCGTCGGTCCCGACCGATGCGAACTGCGCAACACCCTCTGATGACTAGACCCCCTTTGCTCATCAGACTGACCCGGATTCGCATCCTTTTTCTCCTCTTTTGAACCGGACTCCGGACTGGCGTTTCCGGGTGTCATTTCCTTATCGGTCGAGTCGCTACTATTCGAACTTGCGACGACGTACGGCAACGGATGGGTGCGTTGCGAGCTGTTTTTCCCGTTACGACTCGTACCGGTTTCCTGTTCGTTATTTCCGCTTTGAGGAATTACGATTTTTAAAGGCGGGACTTTTAAATCTGATTTGCCATCTTCCACTTCAGCGTCACTGTTACTGGCAGGTTTGGGGCTAGAACAAGGGCTTTTCTTCTCGCCGGTTTTGCCCGCAGCTGGAAATTAAAAAAGTGAGAAACAGAGAAACAATTCTGTATCTTGAAATTAGCTACCTGTGGCTTGTGTTTGCTTCCCTTGGGCTGCAACGCCCTGTTTTCCGCTTTGACTTTTGGCCTGATTCGTGTTCCTCTGTGTGGGGGTTTTCCCGTCTTTATTTCCTTCTTCTTTCCGTTTTTTTCTTCTGCTTTCGTCGTCGTTGACTTCTTCGTTTGAATCGGCGATTTCTGAGAAATTTCTCTTCGAGCTTTCCTCTGTTTGTGTTGTGGGAACACTTATGGTTTCACTCTGTTCACTAGTGCTCTCCTGAGCGTCGCTTTTTTGTTCCTGAGTCTGTTCTGACTCTTTTACTGATTTAAATTCGTACACATCTTCCGTTGTTTTAGTTGTGTCCATTGTTTCGTCTTGTTTGGTTTTGGTTGTCTCAGAAGTGACTTTTTTGTCATCCCTCACGCGCGGTTGTACTCGAGTCGATGCTGTCGATTCTACCAAAAGAAGAAGAAAAAAAAACATTTCTAACGTAAAATTTTTATTAAAAGTAATTACGTGCTCAGCCTTGGACGCCGTATCGCTTCATTAGCACAAGCTATAATTACACACGTAAAATATGGATGCATTTTTATTTTCGTCTCGATTATTTGACATTTACAAACTAGAATTACGTCGTTTTTTTTTTTAATTTTAATCACACATGCAATCACATTACGTGAATATTTTATTAATAGATTCAAGTGTCGCCATTTTGGTTCCGACAGGTAGAAAGTACTTTTAAATATTTGCATTGAGTTTTTTATTTATCATCAAACCAACGGAATTTTCCTCAACGATTTATCACTTGTGGTAAATGAATAGTTAAAATTCTATTATTTCATTTTTTATCTAATAAATAACATAATTATCATTCATTCCGAAACGGCTTGATGTGTATTTATGGCGTAATAAATAGTACCACATTTCATTATTATTATGACTTGTGTGTATTTTTAAAGCGATAAATAATGTAATATCGGTGATGATTATGAAAAACACGTAGGAAGGAAATGTTACAAAATAATTTCACATTTTATTTTAATAAATATATAAATTAAGAAAGCAGTTAGTAGTTACTCTTTTTGTAAATCAGAAATAAAAACGAACATAAATGAATAAAAAACAAACAAAAAGTAATTACGTAATAAATTACCCTTACCAAGAAAATTAGTAATTCTACTAAAAATAGTACTCACATGTCGATTAAACAACACTGGAAATCAAGTAAAATTTAATAACATTAATTTAGATAATTATTATCCAGTTATGATAAATCTAAACTTTCAACATAATTGTATTTTAATTAAGAGTTTGTGAAAAATACAAAATATAAGCGTTTCTAAAAACACTACTTTCCAAACGCAAAGTTTAAATTTATTACCCAAAAATGTCGGACAATAATGGAAACTCAAGACAATAATAAAATATCCAAAAATAGGTGAGGCTACGATAACTATCTGAAATTTTAAAAAAATATTAATTAAGCAAAACAAAAGCAATAAGACAATTATGAATTAATAATAAATTATTTTTAATGTGGGGAATAAGAATAAAGTGAGGAACAAAAAATTCTTCTTGTTTCATATTTTACGGTGAAATTTTCATTAAAAGGACACATAAACAGGCAAAACTATAGGTTATATCTCCCAAAAATATTTAGAGTGATTTTTAAAAAACGGCAGGTGCTGTAGAATTTTTTTATGGCCCTATTTCAAAAATTAAAAAAAAATAATTAAATGGTTTTTTATATTGTACTAACAATTTTAAAATTTGCCTTAATACAGTAATAATGTCTTAATACAGTTTGTGCTATATTCAACTTTTTAATTTTAAATAGGAACTAATTTTTTTTCCATATTTCGAAAAATAATAGCTTTCTTAGTACAGACATTCGCCATAAAACGATCAAAGTTAAAAAATTTAAAAAAAGATTATCAAATCTAGTTGTATTCGGTATCAATAAAAAAATTGACGTTAACAATAATCTAATTAAAACTAAACAAAATAAATAAATAAATAATAATAAAATAAGTTGATAACACTAAAAATGTTTTTCTGATTTGTTATAATCAATTATTGTCATTTCTTATTAAAAATTTGATAAAATATTGGCAATATTTTGTTTCATTTGCTGCTTTTTGACATCACAATATCGCATTGCCTTATTTGATACCATACAACTAGATTTTATTAGCTTTTTTTCAAATTTAATAATTTTTTTAAACAATTTTTGGTAAAAGTAGAACATTTTGCATGTCTGTACAAAAAATTATGTATAAAAAAATGTGGATTCCAAAAAGTTAGCCTAAAATAGACTACATTTAGAAAAATTCTGAAATTGTCGGCTTATACTACATTAAAATAAAGCCATTTAATTTATTTTTTTAAATTTTTGAAATCGAGCCATAAATTACGCTGATTGTTTTTTAAAAATCACTCTGTATTTTCTAACATCAAAAAACTAATGTAGCAATTATGTAATGAATTACCCAATTTAAAAAATGGATAATTCAACTAATTCAACGTCGATTAAAATCATAAATAAACTCAAAACTAGGAAAATACATCGAATTAATGACGGCCATACCAGCGGCCGCCCCTCGGAAATGAATGACATTTGACTATAAAAGTGTGACGCTTAAATTTGATAATTTATGTTGCCAATTTAATTTCATCTTTCGATTTTTTTATGTGTAACATCATTTATTTTTGATATTATTTCTGAAAAGTGGAGGTGCAATAAAATATAACAATGTTAACACTAATGCCGTATTTTTGATTAATTAATGTCATTTCCTCATTTCCCATGAGTTAATAATCAAGGAATATTATAAATAAAAAGCGCAATTATGATTTCTGACAACCGGAAGTATAATAAAACGACTAAATCAACGATGCAATTAATAAATTACCGCAAGCAACAAAATAAATTCTAAAAATAGTAGGTACCCACATGTCGTTTAAACATTAAAATAAACTCGAAGCCACGTAAACTAAACAACATTAATGTACTGATAAGTCCAATTAGCCGATAAAACCGCATTTATTTGAACCAATAGTAAAAATTACGAAAACAATCCTCAAAAAAAAAAAGAAAAAACCGAAGCACACTTATCCCTATTGCAAGTCGTAAAAGGGGCAACGTCCGACCGTGCTTCGCACGCACCCACTGCAGATAGAGAGAGAATTCGTGTCCGATTCGGAATCACCATCATCACAAAATGGTTCTTGTTCCACATACCTCGGATCGAGGAACGCACAATGCGAAAACAGGCGGCGGCGGTGTCGGTGGTGGTGGCGGCGGCGACTCGGATGATCGACTCGGGATTTTTGGCAATGGTAACGTACCTTTATGGGTCTGCGATGCACGACGCATCTCAGGGTGGGAGCCGGTTTGTTTGGACTCTTGTAGACCGCCGGTGCAGTGGTGATCGCTTGAGACTTGCACGACCACTTTTATTTAAGAATGAGGATTGCGTGCGGAAGGTGAGTGAGTGTGACGACGAGGACCCTCGGCAATGGGTGGAATCGTCGTGGATTCTGGCTCTGCGAGACACGGAGAACGGACGACGAATCGAAGGCGGCGACGAAACGGGTCTAGATCTACCGCGCTTATCAACGTGTACGCACAAGCGGTGAAATCGAAAGGAGTATAGGAGGAAATTTTGAAAAAGTCGCATCGGAAGTGTGGAAAATACAAAGTACAGGAGATTTCCATTATAAAGTGTAAACTTGAAGCAGTACATAAATGAAAAATATTTTCTTGCAAGTAGGTGTGAAAAAACCTAGTCAGGGTGCTGTGAAAATTTTATGAACGTATATCTTGAATAGTAACTTCAATACCTCTCAKATTTTGCTAAATATTGATTCAAATAATTTTTTTCTACACAAACTAAATATCAACATTGAAATTTTGAGTAAGTAAGTGAAAAAAAAGATTATTTAGGCTTCATAAAAAAAAAGTATTCCAAGAATTTCAGTTTTAAAAACTAACAAATCTTTTACTGTAGGTAATTATGTAAAGGCAGAAATCTATTTACTTGAAAAGTAAAGATTTTGACGTAAAATTAGAATTTCCAAAGAAAACATTTTTTTCAAAACTTAACATATTTGTTGTACAGTGGCGGACACGGAACTTTGGACATCAAGTTTATGTCAGTTCAAAAAATGTCAATGTAATTGTCATTATGATGTTATGTTTGAAACTAAAATTTGAAAGTTTTAATTGAAATTTGTTTTTGGCGTCGACTTTCTAATAATAATTTCAATAAACTATTTTGATTTGTTGTCATTTTTTCTCTAGTTATCAGGATAAAAATTACAAAAACCGTACGTGAGGTTAGTTGCCTAAGGCCCGTTTTACATTTTTATGTCAGTCTAATGACAAATCGTCCAAAATTCCGTGTTCGCTAGTGTATTAAAGCAAAATTTTTAATAAAATTTCATTGCAAAATCAAAAAACACCACAAAATAGTCAGAAGCAAAATTTTTAAGACGAATTTTCTTGGCTAGAATCGACATAAAAATAAAATGTCAATTAAAAAAAAAACAAGTTGAGATAAAAATAATATAAAAAAAATTAAAGTTACAATAAAAAACTTTGTCTTTTTTTGTTTTATAACTCAAATTTTTAGGCAAAATTTGATTGTAAACGTTTGAACTGTGTTATAACTCAAAACAACAAACGTTCATTAAAAAATCAATTAATAAATAAATAATGTAATTCGGTGATAGCGGAAAACCGCACAGACAGACGACTTGTGGTTATTGATTTTTGTTTTAACCCTCAGACAGACAAGAAATAACAATTGATAAATAAAAAAGAAAAATTCACCATACAGGGTGTCTCAGTTAATTGTTTAACTTGTCAAAATAATTATGTATATTTAAAAAAAATGTATGCAATAATCATAGTAAACTCACCTACAGTGTCACCTAAAATCATTTTCAAATACAGTCTCAGAAATATATTCTCGATGTAGCTTTTAATGTTGATGTTTTTGTTAAACTCTTATTGGCCAATTTAGCTTTTGAAACTATTGTTTTTTTTTTGTTAAAAACACTCGTTTTTAAAATGTATTACACAAAAACTTAGAATACTAGAAAAATAATATTTCCCCAAGAGGGAATAAAGTGACGCTTTATCCCCTTGTTTTTGACTAATAATCTGTACTTTATTCCCTTGGAATAAAATACCGATTTCTACTCTTAAAATTTCTATTGAATGAACTGAATATTTTGTCAAATTATTTGACATCATTTGACAAATTTATCTATTTCTTATGTTATTATATATTTTTTCTATTTCCTTCATAGATAATAAATAACTAATTCACTATTTCAAAAAAAAAAAAAGTTTCAGAAATATATTTTTTAGCACACTGCTATAAAAAACTAGTTTTTAACTAAATGTTTTTGTTTAAACAAAATATTAAAAAGAAATCAACTATTATTTCAGTAGTAATACGTATGTATTGAAACTCATTTCCGAATCACCTTGTAAACTTGAAAATAATTTCTTTTAGGAGATACAGGATATAGATATTTTCTTGTCATATTTTTTTTTTCAATTATTATGCAAGAAAAACAGTAAGAATTATTCATTAAATAACTTTATACCTACTCTTGAATTAATACTGATAAATCATAGCGCACAACTTTATCGACATGGTGCGACTTAAATTCCTATTCGGACGGGATTTGACCACACGGTAAAAAAATCATAAAAAACGACTTTTTTTCCAAAAATGAACTCACAATAAATAAAAATTGTCACACTTTAAATCACCACTTAATTAATTCATTCAAAATTGATCTCAAAAATGATTACAAAAATGATTACACGCGAAACGGAAACAAACAATGACCTTGACATAAAACAATCGAAACAAAGACCATGTGTGTTCATAATCAAAAAAGCGCATCAGTAATTAGGTAATCACGAATTCATTGATGAATGAACTCGTAAAAACTGGTTTTGTTACATTATTGGGTAAAAAATCGTAGTACCTGGGAGGGGTAGACTCGGGTTGTGTAAATAAGGCGTGACAGCGGGCGTCGCGACGTCCAGCGGCGTCTTGCCCTTTGAATTTTTCGCATGGATATCCGCCCCGCGCTCCACCAAAAGTTTGACCAACTTGATGTGTCCGTTCATTGCAGCGTCGTGCAGGGGCGTATCGTTTTCGTGCCCCTTGGCGTTCACATTCGCCCCCGCTTGCACCAACCGAAAGGCGACCTCGTACCACCCGTGGTTGCAGGCCTCGTGCAGGGGCGTCCAACCTGCCACAAAGTCAATTTTCACAAAGGCACTCACCCGAAACGGAAAAAGATTTCCAATTTGACGCGAATTTCGATAAATTACCAGCGAAATCAGTAGCGTTAGGATCAGCCCGGTGTGCCAATAATTTACAAACTTGTTCAACATCGCCTTTAATTGCAGCTAAATGCAACGGTGTTTCACCTCTTTCGTTTCGGTCGCGTGAACGAGAAGAATTCGAGCTGCTGGGGCTGCGGGACCCCACGTCGTTCGCGGACGATGTCATTTGCATTAAAAGGGCCATTTGCTGGCGCTCGGACATCGGAGTGACTGGGGGGGCGCGAGGACCTCCACCAGAACCCTTAGGGCGAACCGACGAAGGCATTCTACGGGGCAATCCTGAAAAACCAAACACTATCAACTGACATAACCTCACTTTGCACGCGCGAAAAACACGCAAAACGGGGCTAATTTAAACCCCGACTTGCAAGAAAACCACACAAACAAACTAATTCACCTCAAAGCTTGACTCGGAGAGATAAATATTTAAAAATTTTCGATTCAAACGTATTTACATCCACAGTTTACATCACAAACTTGCCGGGAACTGTTTTACCGACCCGCACTTTATGGAAAATAATACCGCTAATTTTAAAAATACAAACACAAAAATGATTTTATCAATCACCAACACCAAACTCAACTCATTTAAATGTTTTAAACAAGTACAAGACAAACCCTGTAATTGCCCCTTTAGAGACAATGAGACAATTTTTGAGACTGTTGAGAGGTTATGTTTGAAACAAATTAACAAACGTCAATAACTTGTTATCGAACTTGTTTTATCACGGCCTCCTTGATAAAAAGATAGACTTTCGTCTATCCGGCCTCGCGCGTGGCAATAATTTTGACGTTTGATGGCGCTGACATACGGTGCATGGTTGGTTGCCTGATTCAGTTTGAAATTTCAAAAAAAAAAAAATCTTGACCAGGTTTAAATTAAAAATTAATGATGAACAAAAGTAAGGATCCCAGTAAGCACTTACCATTCGATAAAATAAACCTATAAATTAACTTTTATTTATAATAAAGCAACTTTCTTAGTGTTATCAATTTAATTTTAAGAGTTTTCTTTTTTTTGTTTGAATATTTAAGTTTTTCACAATTGTATGAGCATGTCTGCTACAAAAGTTAGAAACAATTGGTGTTATAAGCTTATCTAAAATTATGGTACACAAAATTTTAGAATGGGATTCGCAACAAAAAATTGGATTGCCGTACAGATAGGATAATAAAATGTTCCTTAAATTAAACGACACATCTTCAGTTGGCAGACTTGGTAATAGTTCAATAATAATTTCTACAACAAACACTATTAAACTCACAAATTTTTTGTTTGGGTAGATTAATCTTCCACGATCTTGGTGGTATATTAATTCCAATAACGGGCAGTWTACTTGGGGATTAAGATCTTGTAATGTTGAAAAACATAAATTGCAGCTTACAAATTGATTTGCTTTCTTTATAAGATAGCCACATAAAAATGCTATAGCAGCCGATTCCATATTAATCAATTCGATGTATTCAGTGCTATTAAAATATTTTAATTTTTCCAATTTATTTAAGGTGGAATCTTTTAGAGTAACAGCCACTGTAGTTTCTACTGAATTTTGCTTCACGGTCGGCGTAGTTGCCGAGCTCACATATTTGTATTCAGAAGCAGTGTTACAAGAATTAACATTTTTGATTATACCGGTTTTCAAAATTTGACGAAGTGCATGTTCGGCAGCTCTACAATCTGTGAGATCATTAGACCCACTTCTTAGTCTCACATTAGAAAATAAAGACTCTATGGCATCAGAACTCAATCTTCTCGTTAAGACATAGAAGAAGTTCAATTCATTTATTAAATATTTCACGCAAAGGCCAGTACTTTTGGCAGTAAACAGAAATGCTTCTGCAGTTTCTTTTGTCAGCCCTCGCATTCCCATTGCTTCTGATCTAGTTTGAACATCCCTAATGTACGACGGAAATTCTTGGTCAAGCCACAAAAGTCGTTCATCCGAAGTATCCGTAAATGGTGCAACATCACAGTCATGTTGGCGAACGTGTTGAGTTCTATTACTCACATCGTGGATTTTAAAAAATTTAAACATTGTTTCCAAATATTTTACTGTAGCTCCAGACTGCTTGAAGTTCAATAATTCAGCTTGATCCTGATTTGCAAGGTACCGCAAGGATGCAGTAACTGGTGTTGAAAATKTTTGGACGGCTAGACGTACCTTCATCTTCTCTAAGTTACTTGGAAACAAGTGTTTTTTGGTTAAATATCGAACAGGCCTTACAATTAAATTTTCTTGAATTTCAGCCAACTCCTTTAAGTAATCAGCTGAAATAATACCTTCTTTGGATGCCATGTTATGGTCTAAAAATAAGTTTCGGGCATTTTTAATTAAATGACAATAATCAAAACTAAAGAAGAGTTTTAAACCAGGACTGAAAGGATGCGGGATATAATTCTGGAGATAGCCATTTCCAAAATGTTTGAAAAGAGCAACATTATTTTTGTGGTTGTCTCCGACAATTCGTACGACCTTAAATTCACATTTTGCAAGAAGCTGCAGTACTTCTGTTGCCAGTTTGTACAAATCCTTGCTGCACAGATTTCTATGAAAGTAGTAGCTTGCTGGTATCACATATTTTGTTGATAAGCCATGTATTATAAAACAGAGCAACTGGTTTGCAATAACGGGTTTAGATGTGATAGTGTTGGTGACTTTGGGAAGAGTTTCCAGTCCAAAAATACGGTCTTCTGTTTTTGAATACCGAATGTTTTCCTTAACAGCCATATCATCTACAATTAAGGAACACACACGTTCCGAAATGTTTAAAATTTGCATTTCACTAATTAGACGATCTTCTATCAATTTTTTATTTTCTGAGCCAAAATATTTTCTCAACGTTGTACTGCATGGCAATTTTAGAAGATCACTCCTTGGAAATTCATACCCTTTTGGAGAACAAAATCTCCATGCGATGCATTGGCGTATTGTCATTTCAGACCATATAGGTTTTTTTTTATTATAATTTTTAATTTGGTCCAGAATAAAAATAGCTTTGGAATTTGATTTTTCAGCGTCCTTTTTTATTTGCTCTAATTGTTTCCATTCTGCACGATTCTCTTCCTTGTCTATATCTACTGTTTCTTTGAGTTTATTGTAACACAGCTGAAGTCGTCTCAATTTCTGTTTTAGACACCGGTTTGTATACTCTAAGTCTTTTAATTGAGCCGATGTACATAAAGTTTGAGTCCCAAAGTCAAAAACGTTGTTAGAGTTAGTACTTAATGTTGGCTGTGGTAATTCACCAATTTCCGTCGTGGTTTGAAACTAGAAGTGTTATACAAATATACAAATTGAAACTATAACACAACACTATTTACAAATCTAGAAGGAACAGCTCCTGGTAAAAGCATGCGTTTCTTTGCATTGGTCAAAAAATCTTCCGGTTTAAAATGTGCACTGCAAACAGTTGAATATTCGGATAAATTTTTATGGTCTAAAAACATTTATTGTGATTTGGCATAATTAAATTTGTATTTATACCAATATAAGGTGCAATTGCTGCTTTCCACTCAGAGGCGAAATTTATATTAGCAGGAAAATAATGAAACGATTTTCCTTTTAAATCTTGCGATTTGCAAATACAGCATTTTCGTCTTGAAGGCATTCTTCATTCAAGTCAACGTTTAATTCGTTAATGAAACTAAAGACAACAATAAGGAATATTGTCGATAAATGATTTTTGAATGTCAAAATTTAAGCACTCTAAAAATTTTAAATATTTGAAATTTTTTATGAAGATATGCAACCAACATTACACATCTAAATATTTTAATTAAGACCAGAAGATGACTCTGCCCTACTCCCGTTTTATGTCATATGTCAAACACAAACATTTTTCCCACGCGCAAGGCCGGATAGACGAAAGTCTATCTTTTTATCAAGGAGGCCGTGTGTTTTATTAATCTCTGAGTCAGGAAAACTTGTTCAAGTCCTAATTTTCGCAAAAATAAACATGCCTCAAGAGTCTTCAGACAATCCTCTAATAGAGAAACGCACCCTCTATGCTGGAACAAAACCCGTCTCTTTTAAAGATGGAACGAAGGTTTTTCCGGCCTACAGCCCCCCTTTTCCCTAATCTGAGTTTTCCAGGTCCATTTTCACTTCCAAACACGTCTCTGTGACAAGGAAAAAACCCTCTTGGACGACTCCAAGAAAATGGGTTCAGGAAAACCATTTGAGTTGGTTTTGGGCAAAAAATTCAAACTGGAAGTGTGGGAAGCGGTTATACAAAAAATGGCTTTGAATGAAGTCGCTGTTTTCACTGTGAAAAAAGATGTGAGACTCCTCAGAGCCGTTGTGTAGATTTTTATTGAAATTTTTAGCTGGTTATGCAATATCCTTTTGTTTCAAAGACTTTAAGAGACGTTAATTTGCCCAGAGAGGCCAGGAAAAGTCACTGTTGTGCTATGACGATTCAGACTGAAGGGGTTGGTTATGACGACTTGAACAACTTTTTAAAAGATCCCTCAGATTTGGAATTCACAATTGGTTTGTTGTATCAACTCAATGCATGTTATTTCGAGGTTTTTTTCAGAATTAGTCAAAGTTGAACAACCCGAGGATTACGAAAAAGAATCGTGGCAAATGGACGAGGAGGAAAAACTAAAGAAAGTACCTGAATTAAAAGAGCAAGGAAATGCAGAATTTAGGAAGAAAAATTATGAGGAAGCGTCAGATTTTTATGCTAAAGCCATTGGGATTATTGAACAACTAATGATTAAGTAATTTTTGCATTTAAAAAAAAATTTGGTTACGCCATTGGCCATGAATAATATTTTTTTTAGGGAAAAACCGCACGATGAAGAATGGAACGAACTAGATAAAATGAAAGTTCCGATTTTACTCAACTATGCCCAATGTAAGCTAAATCAGGGTGATTATTATGCTGTGATTGAGCATTGCACAACTGCTATTAAAAGTGACCCAAGTAAGAAACTTTGTCTTTGTTGAGTTTGCCATACTGCAGCGTTTACAGGCAATGTCAAGGCCTACTACAGGAGGGCTAAAGCCCACGTGGGGGCTTGGAACACCCGAGAGGCTTTTGACGATTTCAGAAAAGTGTTAGAACTCGACCAGTCACTTACAACAACGGTAAAAAAAGAAATGACCGCTTTGGAGGAACAAATAAAAAAGAAAGATATGGAAGACAAACAGAAATTGAAAAATTTATTCAATTAAAATGTCTATTTTACAACTAAATGTGATAATGTAAATAAAAAATAAATATGGAAATCCATTTATTACAACTCAAACTCCCTTAAATAATACTCAAATATCACATTGAATTACACATGGATACACATTTTTGGCACGATAAGACTAATGGAATGTTGGCAATACTGTCTAACTTACAATAAAATAATTGAGTGGTCGCGTTCCAGCCTGCGTCTTGCTTTCAGGGGAACGTTACTCATGGGGTCTGCCGGTGTTGGTAACCCTGCATTAGGGTTAGCAGCCTGGTGGTAAAACACCTCAGACTTGCCACACTGATAACCATAAATCACGCCGTCACAACATCTACAACAATTAAAAAAATAATTAAAAAACCCATTGGTGTTATTACCAAATCGCCGAATTGAGTAACTATCTATACTGAAATCAGACGCTTCCTCGATTTTTTTCTGCGCGATTTGGGTGTACCGTTTAAACAGTAAAATATTCACAACGGCGCAAATGAACGAAATTAGGGCCGAAAAAATGAGCGCCAAGACCAATTCGAGCGGATTGTAATGAAGATCGTCAATGAAGAAAAGTACTATGCTGAGGAGCAAATGAACAACTCCGGAGTAAATCGAGACGATTAAAAAGGGGATAAGCAACTCGCGAGTCTCGAAAAACACACCGAAAACGTAGGGAAGAAACGGCATGAGGAAGATTATCTGGAAGCCCCAGTTGATTTGGTCAATTCGGGTCAATTTGATTTGTAGGTAGTAAGTCGTGATTATTACGTTGCCCACTGTGCAGAGGAAAAAGATCGAACTCGCGAGCAGGCTCATAACTTTGAGCATCTTTAACGTACACATCTTGACAAGTGTGTCAAAATTTCAACTTTTGATGCGAAAATGTTTTCTAAAAACAAGATATTTCATGGAATGTCGCTTGCTTGACTTGACAATTTTCTTGCTCGGTCATGTCAGCTGTCAAAAACTTGACTTTTTTACTTAAAATCACATTAATAAAAAAAAAGTTGTGCGACGACTTAATCAACATCAAACGACTGTAATTCTTATTCAAAAACTTCAAAATATTTTGGCGCCAAGTGTATTTCATATCTTTTCAAATCAGAATTATGTCCACAAATTATCGAGATTTTCTATTTAAAAGCATATTCATAAAAACCCAAAATGCAAAAGCTAAAATTTTCAGCCCACAATATTATCGAAATGGTACGACTAGATTTTGTTTAAAAACACAAATAAATATTTCTTTTTTAGAAAATAGTAACAATATAATGCATTTTTTTGTAAATTCTTTCTACATTAGAATATCGATGAAGTTTGAGCTCAAAAAACATCCTTTTTTGGTTCAAATCAATAAGTTTTTAGTTACGAGTTTTAAAATCATCAAAACCTTATTTTTATGTGCAGCTATTTTAAAAATAATACCTCATTAAAATCTTGCTGCTTAACTGATTTGAATTTATAAAAAAATGTGTTCACGACTTCATAAACCTCATACGACTTTAATTTTTATTCAAAACCTACAAAATATTTTGGCGCCAAATATATTCAATATTTTTCCAAAACTTTAAATGTGTGTGAATGATTTTCTAGTCAAAAACATATTTATAAAAGCACAAATTAGTATCAACAAAAATTTTTAGCCGACAATATTATCTATATGGTACGATTTGATTTTTATTCAAAATTAAAAGCACAATAAACGTTTCTTTTTTAGAAAATATTAATAATATAATGCAGTTTTATTATAAATTCCTTCTAAATTAAAATATCAATCAAGTGCAACCTCAAAAAAAAGAGGAAACATGTCAATTTCTAAAAAAATACGTTCACGACTTTAACAACATCATATGACTTTAATTCTTTTTCGAAAATTAAAGAAAAACATTTTTTCATTTCTCATTATAAAATCACTAATTTTTTTTAGCCCGAAGTGTTTTTAGTTTCAAAACACGATAGAAAATAATAATATTGGAATGCATTTTTTATAATCATTACCTAGATAAAGTTTAAACTTAAGAAAACTTATTTAAAAAAAAAACACTAGTTTGACTCTTTTACCTCATTAGAATCTCGATCAAGCTGCTCGATTCCTGAAAATCGCGATGAAAATAGGTGAGAGCCCCCAACTCGGCAGTGCCCCAGGGCCCCCCGCGATGTATAGTGTCCCAATCCGAGTCCAAATACAGGTAACTGTAGGGCTCACTGTCTCCTTGAGCCCCTCCTCCTGGATACGTCTCCAAACAATGATGCAACTGTTTTTCCAATTTTCCCAAATTTTCCGTACAAATCTCCCACTAAAACAATTTCCATCATAGTCTCTCAACACCCACTGTTTTAACTAAATACCAATTTGGTCAAAAGTTCTAACGAGGCACATGCCTCATCCTGTAACAAAAGCGTAACGACCATATCCTGTTGTCCGCAAACAAACAAAACGCATTTTCGCAATGAATCCGTTTCCGGAATCAACTTTTTCGGTCTTTTGAATGCAAAAGGAAAATTCGGTTGAGTGGGAGTAAAAATGGGGGTTGTGTCCCGACTACAGAAACCACTAGATTCGAACGAGCTCAGTTTTGACATTAAGGGGGTTAGGAGGACGCTTGAGGAGTGTCGCCGGACTGGTGAAGGCTCCTCCCCTCCACCATCCAAACTGAGCGATTTTAACGGAAGTGTAAGCGATTTCCGGTGCTCTTTACTCGGCCGAGGCAAAGCCGAGAACTCGATAGTTTCGACCACTTTGTCTGGAATTTTCTTAACGCTTTTGACAAACTCGCCTAAATTCGAATCAAAGTCGTCAAAAGAGTGATTCAAGGCGGGTTTTTCCTCCTTAATTTCGCTCGTAATTAACTCCATTTGATTGGTCAAGTAGTCTTGGTAGAACGGGTGGGAGACTAGAGTACCATCGGACCGAAAAATGGGATAATTCGGATCAGTTATAGTTTTAAATACTCGGCCCTTGTCTGGTGTTGTAACATCATTCGAAATTTTGTACTTTTCACGAAACTCTGAATTATAATACTTCATTGTGATACTCTTGTCGAGGTTTTTCCCCTTCTCCCGGACGTCAAACACACTTGAAAATTTTTTACAATCGTACAAATTACTCGTTACGGTCAAATATGGCACTCTTGATACGATATTGTTCAAACTAGAATCATTTTTAACCAAAACCGAATTTTTTTCGGGCGACTTCTCTAGTTTGGTCTCATTTATACAAATCGATAACGGTTTCGAGTGCAAAACTTTACTCAAATCGGTCATGGGTGTGGAACACACACTAGTCTGCCCATGAAACGGCGTATTAACCACCGGTTTTTTCTCATCAGTTGTCTTGTGTTTAAGGTTTAGGAATTTGGGGCGATTTTGTGACGGAATACGTTTCTCGACTTGTTGCTCGCAATCTTCCTCAGGGACTGCTGTGAAAATAATCGACTGGTCGCGTTTCATAGCTGACATGACCGGTTCCTTGGACGCCACTGGTTTACCCTAGAAATTTTTTTCAATCATAACTTTCACAAAATCTAATTTCAAACCTTTTTAATACTTTTGCTGCTCAGGTACTGGAAAATACTGCGACTCCGGGTCGCCTCCTCATGCAATTTGTAATATTCTTTACACGAAATGTATACTTGAAGCAACTGGACTCCTAGTGGTAGCTCAAAATTGACGCTAGGTGTCTCTGCCGGACATTTAATTCGATAAGGATCGGTTAATACGATTCGTTTTGTTATGTCTGAACTGAGTTGAGTGGCTACAACTCTGAAAACAAAACATTACCAAAATTACAGATTCCTGTAATTTATAATTACTTGTTATGGTACAATAAAGTACCCCCCATCACGTAATTGAGTTCCTGGCAACATTGTAATATTTGTATGGCTTCTAGAAACACATTACTTGCGCTCTACGAACAAAACAATTAAATTAAGCTTCAAAATATTGATTTTGAATACCTTTGGTAATTTCAGTGAGGGCGTATAAGAAAAAATATTCCCACCCAGAAACATATACTTTAGATAAGTTTCAAATAATTGGTACAGTTTAGCTGACAGTTTCGCGCTGTTATCGTACAATTTCGACATGATTTCAATGTCCTGGTGGAAGAAACTTATAAGTGAAGACATTGTATTAGCCCTATGTTCCAATAACCAATCTGCGATATTGCGATCTGTTCCTACAGCCTTAATACACCAAATTATACAAAATTGGGCGGAAAAAAACAGCAACAAACCATCAAATACCGCCCATATTCCTTAATAAAAAATTTGCCACTCTGTAATGAGACAATTTTCGGGGCGGAAAAAATGCTTTTAACGCAATGTACAGTGCCCATTAATTGGCCACACAAAGCCGTCTTTTGCTGGTCTGATACCCAAGTTGGGTGAAAATATAAAATTGCGCTTGCAGGGTCATCTTCCTCTTTCTGAAGCATCTGGGAGTCATAGACTAGAATTATCATCATTTCCCTACAAAACATGTTTCAGCTTCTTTATCAGGAATTGTATAAATACTTACTTTGCCATTTTTATGCGATTTTTCCAGTCAAAACAAACACAGGATTTTTATTGATGTTTACACAATTGTGACATAACCTCACTTTTCCTAAGTAAACAAAAACTCGACTAGTTATGTAAGACTTTTTTATTGAATTGTGACGTTATATCATGTTTGTTTTCCCCGCTTTTGATGGTTTTTGAACAAATGGAGGTTGATTAAAACAATAAAAACGCCAGTACAGTACGCCACTGGACTTGTACAGGATTACCACACTAAAATTTCAAAAAACCTATGTTTGAAGACTTTAATTAAAAATACATTTTTCTTAATAAATAACGTACGCAATTATTCTATTTTGCTGGTCTGAAAATTCCAATTTAATAAATAACGTGTGTAACATTCAACGGTTGCCGGCCATGATTGTCAGCTTCTTGACAGCTGTTTTGGAGGGAAAAGCTTTTGCCAAGAGGCAAAACACGTGTTTATAAACATAAACACCAAAAATGGACGAACAAAGTGAGTTTCCTTTTCGTTATAAACTAAAAAATACTTTGCCCCAATTGCAGAGCTTTTGAAACGGAGGAATAAAGCCCACAGAGAAAACAATGAGGGAGTTCTTATCAGTGTTTGCACCGATTTGGCAAATTTGTACGTGGATAAACGACGATTTGATTTCGCTATAGAGGAATACACCACAGTTGCAAACATTTACAAGAAACAAAATAAACAATTGGAGTATGCTGTGGTCAATAGAGGCATAGGTGAAGCCTATTTGGGCTTACAAAAGTTTGATAAAGCTTTGCAACACCAAAAAGTCTACTTGGGTAAGTTGACTACGTTACTTGTATCGAAATGAGACACTTACCTACCGTAGATACTGCAAGGGAGTTGAAAAATAAGCTGGAAGAGCAACGAGCTCTTGCCACCATTGGCCACACTTACCTCACCAGTTACTTGGAATCATCAGAACCCGATAAAAATAATTTAAACCTAGCTAATAAGTTTTTCATGAAAAGTTTAATAGTTTCACAGAGGTACACAATCAAAATTTGTGTTTTTTGTACTAATAAGTGGTTATTATAGCTTAGTTGGAGAGGCAAGTAAACTTGAAATTGCAGACATGTGTGCTCGACTTTATTGCAATTTAGGCATAGTTCAAGACTGTCTTAGTAATTACGACAAAGCTTTGGAACTTTTCACCAAATCTATAAACCAATGCAAAGCTCACGACTTGTACGAACAACTACAAAGGGGCTACATGTCTCTCGCGTCACTCTTGGTGAAAAAGGGGGACAGTAAAGCAGCCCTCCAGCAGTGTAATTTAGCCGCCGAGACCGCAAGTAAGTGAAAAGGGGCACCAAACTTTGATTAATTGATAATTTGATAGAAAAACTACGCAATAAGGCCGTTCTCCTGGCCGGGATTTTTTTAAACAAATCGGAGATTCTCCTGAAGCTGGGGGACCTCCACGGGGCCAAAAACACCCTCCACAAGGCGTACAAACTCAACACGCCTGATGTCAAAGACCGGAAAACAATTGAAAGTAATTTGAAAATTGGTGAGTAAAAGAAGCAATCATGTGTTGTTCTTATGATCAGATTTTAGTCGCTTCAATGTGTTACAACGAGGATAAACTATTGATAACTGACAGTACTGATTACCCAAATTTGAAGAAATTGTACGAAAAGATGGGTGATGGCGCATGTCATTTGAAACTCTACACCAAGGCACTCGATTATTATAAAAAAATGTTAGAGACGGCCGAAAAGGCCGAAATGACCGGTTCGGATTTGGCTTCGTGTTATTACAGTCTGGCGGAGACTTATAAAGACAACGGGGATTTTAAGGAAGCTGTTGATTATTTCGAGAAAGAGTTGGCTCTTTGCAAGTCTTTGAAAGACAGTTTGAACACTTTGAGCAACATTGCGGATACGAAAGAGGCAGCCAATGAGGCGATTAGTGAAGTTAGGGCTGTGTACAACCGAGCTATAAACAGTTGCCAAACGGAAGGAAACGTACACGAGGAAGGCCGAATGTTGAAACGTCTAATTCTGTATTTGAGACGCCAGAACCAACATTCAGAAGCCTTCAATTTGGAACAGAGTTTAGCAAAATTAGATTATCACAGTTCGGATAGTGATGGGGAAAGTTCCGACGCTCAGACCGAATCTGTCGTGGGGGCCGASATCGATTTGGAAGRGATCACAGGTGAAATAAACCAATTGAGAAATTGTTTCACTCTCTTGTAGATGTCTCTGATGATAGTGACATCGAGCAACCAACGACGCATCGTCGCCGTCCCAAAAACTTCCAAATCAAGAGAAACCTCAAAGGCGAGACCCAACTTCACACTGCTTGCATTAAAGGACAGTTGAATGTCGTCCGTCACCTACTCGATCAAGGCCATCCTGTCAATGTGAGAGACAATTGTGGGTGGTTACCCCTTCATGAAGCTTGTATACACGGCCATCTTGACGTCGTCCGACTTTTACTAGACAAGGGGGCTGCTATTAACGACCGAGGGGGCACCCAATGCGAGGGGATCACACCCTTACACGACGCCGCCTCTAATGGACATCTACCCATAGTTGAGTTATTACTCACTAGAGGCGCTAATGCTGTTGCTAAGACTGACGACGGGGAAACTGTTTTGAATTTTTTGAAAAAATGGCGCACCGGTGTTGAGTTAAATAATGACAGTAGGGTACTCTATGAGAGGTTAGTTGAACAAATATCACTAGCGTTGCAAAAATCGGGTCAGGCTGTGGTGATAAATGACGATCAGGAGACAGTGGCGTCTCCTAGTGGGAGTTTGAGACGTTCGGCTATCATCGGACTGGAGGATGAGGACAGTTCGAGTCCAGATTACAAAGCCGATGATTACCGAAATGTCATGGAGAGTTTGCGACGAAAGAGTGTGAAAACTCCCCCAAAATCAAGTAGTGTGGTGAAAAGATCCGCTCTTTTGTTTGAAAATGACATGGTCGATGATTGGCTCGAAGACGACCTTGGACAAACGTCAAAAAAACGTAAAACGGCCTCGCCGGTCAATGATTGTCAAGTGACCGGTGAGTATTACCAACCCCCGTCGCGCAGTCCTGCCAAAAAGAAGAAACCAAAACAAACCAAATTGACAAATTTCGGCCATACTAGAACCCTAGTCGAGGCCGACTCGACTTCGTCTCCGAAACCACCACCGAAGCTCCCCCGAACTCGCTCGTTCGAACTCGGCACAGACCCGACCTTGTCCGTAGATGTCCGAATCGACAAAAAGCTGTATCGAGTACCGGTTCTCCTCTCGCAAGTCGGTACCCACACGATAAAGTGGTTAGCGGATGAGGCAGCCACCCGATACGCCAAAAAAGAGTACATAGTGCCAACTTTAGAACTCGAAACGAAAAACGGAGCGATTTTGGCCGATGATGATCCGATTAGTTTGTTGTTTCCAATGGGGGGGACACAGGCCGAGGAAGTTGAAGCTCGGATTGTTAAATCAAGTCTTCCGCCCCTCATTGATCGCTACAAAGAGGCATGTCAGGATATGGGGATGCTGCCACACGAACCGATTTGTCAGGTCTTGCAGGAGTTTTCAGTAGGGTTGGATTTGGCTGATCGGGGGCTCAAAGGGGCGGTTTTAGCACCTCTTGTGAAGGTTCTAAACCGGCAAAGCAATCTAGTCGAGTTGGATTTGTCCGGGAATTTTTTCACCAATGAGTGTTTTCATTTGTTGGGCAAAAGTTTAACCAGTTTGGAGAGTTTGTACAAGTTGGGTTTGAACTGTACAGGTCTGTCATCGGAACATGTACAAACCATAGTGGGGAATTTAACCCCAAATGTTTCGTACAAAATCATAGACCTCGATGTGAGTGATAATTGGTTACGCGATGACAGTTTTGAAAGTTTAACCTTGTTGACTCGCCGATTACAATTGAAAAAATTCAATTTGGCGGGCAATAAATTTACGAAAAATATCTTCAATCATCGTTTAAACAAAGATCTGACTCTAAACCTTGACCAAATTGAAGAATTCGACATCAGTGATAATGATTTTGATAATGTAACACTCATCAAAATATTATCGTGGTTGCAATTCGACAATTTAACAAACCTAAACGTCTCAAGAAACTCGCTGAGTGACAACTTTTTACGAGAGTTGCTCAATATATGGACCACCAGTGGTAAATTACAAGTTTGCAAATTGTCAAAATGCCACGTGACCGACTCGGAGATATTCGATTTGTTACGGTAAGCGCTTTCGACAAGTCACGTGACTTACTAATGTCATTTTGCAGCGTTGCCACTTCGCTCCAACACCTGGATGTGTCATACAACGATGCTTTGACAAGCATTTCGTTGAGAAGATTGCTACAGAGTGGCATCACGACTTTAGATATCTATGGTTGTGAAAATATTTTCCAGTATTTTACCGAATTTTCCAAATACATTGATAACACATCAAGTGATAAGACGCTCAAGTTGAGCCGGCCTGAAAATTCCCAAAGAGAGACTGAATATTTAATCGAAATGTGGAAGGAGTTTTATGGGAGTGAGAAAACAGTCGTGGAATTGACGACGAGGTTTTTGGGGTTGTCGGTATTAAAAGTGTGATTTATTTTATAAAATAAAATTTATCTTTATTTACAATACAACCGTATTTTTTTAATATTCTGACAACAACACTAATCAGTCCCGAATTTTTGTTCCGTGAATTACTTAATTATAAAAAATTGTCGTATATGGCCACGTAAAATAATAAAATCATTAAGACTATAAAAATACAGTGAATCAAAGAGAGAAATAAAATACAGAAACTTGCCTTTAAAGCTTATTTTGTGCAGTTATGAAAGGCAATTCGCTAATTGTATCACAATATAATGACTTATTCACTAAACTAAGAGAACCTAAACAACTGGTCCTTATGGCAATTAATCGTAAAAATATCTGTTTCAAAATGTGTTAAAACTTTAACTCTTTCATATTAATGTGCATCAAGTAGGTTGTAGAAGTCTAAACGAATCTTTAATTTAAAGGCCGATTTAAACAAAGTGTCATTAATGTCATTGAGAACAAAAATAATCACATCAATAATGACAAAAATCGTTATATTCGCCACCTTATGTTAATTTTTGCATGGTTGCCACCTTAAAATGATCCCTTTCAACGACTACTTCGATGCACATCAATATGAAAACGAGTATAGACAAAAAAGTGAATAGTTAAAACTCTCAATTCTGAAACAGATATCCGACAGTGAACTAAAATTGCATCGCCCTGTTTTTTATTTTCCCATTCCGTTCATAATTATTGCCGTAAAAATGGCCGAAATTGAATTTTCTTACCAAATATCAAACGCCCCACTCGTCTCATTAACATTTCCAATAAAACTCTTCTGATCTGGCGCGAAAGAACTCCAACTCGTCCTCCTGCACTCCTCGACTTGGACCCCACAAACTTCAGTCCTACCAACCGCACAACTTTTCTCAATCACGTAAAACTTACTAAACAACGAATCGATCCAACCCTGCAACTCCTTGTCCGTTTTTTTCGCGTTGGACACACTGACAGCCTTCAAAATACCCTCATCACTGTTTTTTATAAACTTATCATAGTTGTCGGTGAGTGGCTTCGAAACCGTACCGCCATGAATCAAGTGGGCTTGCTTGGCGGTTAGGGGAAGCCCCGAGTAAAATTCGAGAGGGGTTACCAGGAACTTGACTTCAGCTAAAAGCGTTTGGTGGTAGATTAGTTTTACAGTCCACGAGCCGGGTAGGTGGGGGTGTTTCAAACTGGGTTTTGAGTGGCCAATCAGAGCGCTTTCGTCGATTGATATGTCGCTGATTTCGACTAGTGAACCAATAGGATCGAGCCAAAGACACGTGATGTTGTGAGTGACACTAGTGGCGCTTGCGGCGAATTTGTAAACTAACACGGGTTCGGAATATGGTGATAGAATTCGGGGGAAGTTTCGTGAGATTTGCTCTTTCTGGTCATAGTCACTACTGACGGTTAGTTCTTCGATACGTTTGGTTAGTGTAGAGGGCGCTACAAGATATGTCATGTTGATAGGCCTGAAAGCGACCTCAATATCACTAGAGTCACTTGTAAAATGGACCAAAGTGTATTTGTACAAGTCTTTAGAGTGGAATGAGGTGGCCCTTTGGATTGTGACACCACAGGTGGCATTAGTGACTGTGTTAGACCAGACCCGAGCAACTGATGAAATGACAGTTCTCAAACCGTCGTCGGTGCCCGGTGATAGGTCCAAATGGTGGTAAACACTCTGCCAATAGGAATGCAAGTTCGGGACTGTCCTTGTCGGTTTATCCAATCCGAACAGCCACAGCTCGAGCTTCAACAAAACGACCTGATTGATGATTGGTTCAAATTTGCGCGCGAAATACAACTGTCGCGGTTGCGTGCTTTGAATCCTCGGCCAATCATCGGGCCGGAAATCATTTGGACTACACCCGCACCAATCAACAACATGCTTATACTGACATTTGCACCCCAACTTCCGTTTCCAGTTGGTCACGTGGAGATTATTATCGACATAACTGTCACAAAACCTCGAATTGCGCAAAACCGTATGAAAGAACGACTCTGCCGGTAATAAAGTATGTCTAAAGACTTGTTTAAGCCCGGTGACTAGATCATCGGGGGTTTTCGCCACGTAACTCACGAATTGCCGCGAGAGGGCGATCCAGTCGCTCCCGCCGTCCATTTGGATGCCTTCAGGGAGGCGGCGGTCGGCCACGCGCCACATGCGACGGTCACACTCGACGAAGGTCTTATCCAGGCCTTGTTTCTGGAGGAAGCGTTGGGTGTCCCTCCCGTGGGACTTGACGAAGTTGCGGCCGCGGTTCGCCCCCAGGAAACGCTCCAAGGACGAGACTTGTTTCACAGGGTAGTCGGATTCGCTGAGGTTGAGGACAAAGTCCCAGGTCCAGGACATGTCCAACAGTTCGGACATGCAACTCAGGAGCATCTCCAGGAGGGAGGCGCCGCCCCAGATGGTGGCGAAGCGGCGGCGAGTCAGACGGATGTTGGGGAAACGGCGCTCCAGAGGGAGGAGTTCCCGAAAAAGGTAGTCTTCTCTCTGGAAAATAAATGTGAGCCGCGATTTACTAAAAATTTCACGTGTATTTACCACGTCAACGTGGATGTAGTAATAGTGGCGAGTGTGGTAGAGGATTTTGAGCAGTCTTTTGACTTGGCGGAGGGCTCGCCCGTTGAGCGTGAGGAGGAAGACGATTTTGACGTTTTCATGGCTTGAGGGCGATTCAGTGTTGGCAACTTGAGGGACAAATTCTAAAATTATTTGATAAATAAATTTTGGAAAATCCTTGAAACCTGCTTTACTTTTTATTCCCGTTTGAAACACATTAATGGTGTAGTAGCCCCCACAAGTAGCATGGGGGTCCCCGGGACATTTCATGTTACATGACGAATCTGGAAGTTTGTAAGTTGGGAGGGGCTCATCATTACCGCAAAAACACTCATGTCTACAACCAAAAAAATAAGTTTCTTACCAAAATAACCAAGAAAACTTACGAATATTGAACTCCAGCATACTCAAACCCGGATTGGAGACACAACTGGATACAATACTCCGGAGAATTGCTCTTTTTATTAACCCCAAAGTACCCACTAAGCAGTCTGTAATTATTTTCATCTTTGAAACAACCCAAAGGCTTTCCGGCGATTTTTCCCTCATTGGGGCAACTTCCGGCCAGTCTTTTGGGGTACAAAGTCCCCGCTAAAGACTTACAAGTCACATTTGCGATTAATTGTTTACAATTTTGGCTCTTAGCACGATGAATAGCTGAAACAGCTTCTTTTCCCGTTATTTCACATTCTGGTCTAAAATTTAGCTCTTCCAGACGCAAAATTGTTGTATTGGCGACTTGTAATTTTTTCCGGTGTGTTTCCACAGTTTGGGTGACCGGTTTTTGGCTCTGTGGCTGCCAATCATCTGATGAGTTGGTTTTTAATTCAAGAAAATGTGCAGCTAAGAGGACTTGGAATAGCAGAATTATTAAACCGATCAGAAAAAATGTTTTGTACTTTCTGAGCCATCTTCCGTTTCCACCTTTAGACACAACCATCTCAAAACTGTGCAGCCCCCATTATTAAAAACATAACCTCACATTTTGGACTTTTTATAAACTTTCAAATATTAAATTTGATCGTGGTTTGGAGATACACAGGGGGTGCCACATTATCTGAAATAAAACAAGACATTAAATGAAGTTTTAACCAAAAAAAGTAAATTATTTAATAAAAAATGAAACCGTTTTACTCACATTCAGACTAAATTATTGCTAAATTTGTATAATAAAGAGAAAGGTGTTTTAAACAGGGTTGCAACCCCTTGAATTGTCTTTAATTACACATGTGTGGGTGCAACGGGGGCGTCAGCTAAGGGTAGGTTTACATCCGGAAATTACATGACCTCAATAAAAAATCATCGATTTAAAAATTTATCACAACAAGAAAACCACATTTTGTGCTTAAAACAACAAATTAATCAGAGAACCAACTTGTAAAATCTTCTAATTGTTTTTTTTTCTGTAAATTTTTATTACGTTACGTTACGTCCGTCTGATGTCGGCTTTAATCCGTGTCAAAATGTCAATTTCGTAACCTCAAAAAATACATTGTAATAGAAATTAATTCACAAAAAAATGACCGAACCAATAAACCAGAAAGAATACTTAAAAAAATATCTCAATATGGGAAAAGCCCCCGGTGAGAAAAAGAAGAAGAAAAAGAAAAAACCGACGACAAGCAGGTTTATTTAATTTTTGTAGCCCCTTTAATTCTTTATTGATTTCTGATTAACTTGAAGGGTTCAAATAATCGACGATGACGCCGACGCTAATCTCCCAAGTCATGTAATCGAGGAAGACTTGGCCCTGGCTAACGAAGATGCGCCCCAAATTGTCGCCATAATTGATGAAAGGCCCCCTTCTATGCGAGTTGATGAGAAAACAAAGAATCCCCTGTGGCAACCAATCGGAACTGTAGAAAACTCAGATTCTTCTGAAGCAAAACAAATGATAAAAAGTTTCAAAATTGCGCCAAAAAGCTCTGATAAGCCTTTTGCACTGCCTGATAAGTCGCCCCCGAGAAGAAAGAAGAAAACAAATAACGGGGATAATACACCTCCTACTGGATCGAGGAGTGACACACCGCCAATAAAAGACGAAAATTCACCCCCTAGAAGGAGTGACACTCCTCCAAGACTTGTCATAAAAGAGGAAAGAAGGTCAGAAGCTCGGAGTTTTGGTGATTATTCGCCGCCTAGAAGGAGCAGAAATGGTGATCCCGACATTTCTCCCCCCAGAAGTAGGAGAGATGACGACATTTCTCCTCCCAGAAGAAGGAGAGATGACGACATTTCGCCCCCTAGGAAACGGAGGGACAATGACATTTCACCTCCCAGAAAAAGGAAGAATGATGATATTTCGCCCCCTAGAAAAAGGAGGGAAAATGATAATTCTCCTCCTAGAAAAAGAAGAAACGATTCTTCTCCCCTTAGAAGAAACAGAGACTCTACTGTTGAGAGAAGCAAATCTGATTCTAGAAATAGGGACACTTCACCTTCTAGAAGAAAAAGGCCCCAAAAAGAAGGTGATTCGCCTCCGCGGAAACACCGAAGTAAGACTGAAGAAAATCGGTCCGAAAAAATGAAGAAAACTCTAGATGGAAAATCGGCTGGTCTTCAAAACGCTAGAGAACTGGCTGAAGAAACGAAACAATTCCGTTCCCGTGAAGACCAAATGTTTAAAACTTTGTCAAAAGACGTTTCCGGGGAGAACGCCGAAACGGTCCATCGTAACCGAAAAACCGGTCAAATTCGTAACTTGGAGGAAGAAGAAGAAATCCAACGAAAGAAACGCGAGAAAGAGGAAGAAAACAAGGAGAAATATTCGCGATGGGGCCGAGGATTGGTTCAAGTGGAAAATCGGGAACAACAAATCCAAGAGCAGTTACACGAAATGAGTAAACCTTTGGCTCGATATGCAGACGATGAAGATTTGGAAAGATATCTTAAAGAGCAGGAACGTGAAGGGGATCCGATGTTGGCCTATATCAGGAAGAAGAAGAAGAAAAAGGCCGCGGCAGCAGGCGAGGTTGAAAAACCCCTATTCGAGGGCAATTTTATGCCCAATAGGTACGGCATAAGACCGGGGCATAGATGGGACGGAGTCGATAGGTCAAACGGTTACGAGAAGAAATGGTTCGAGGTGCAGAACGCCAAAAAGGCCATATTGGAAGACTCCTACAAGTGGAGTACCGAGGATATGTAGTTTTTTTGTAAATTAAGAATAAAACGGTTTTTTTTATTTGACTGGTTTTGAATATTTAAACCCATTTCCTGTCTGCGCCATTTTGTTTTAACGGAAATCACGTCAGTGAGTACAACAAATGAAGATCGGCGATTAAAACGCGAGTACTGCCAACAGAAACGTGTAAAATGTCAATTTTAGTCAATAAATTTTAATTTTCGTGCCCCGAAACGGTGTCTCCGAGGGGGCACATAGCCCTTAGTGGTCGTTAAATAGCACGTCGGCCATATTGACCGGCATTTGCGCGTTGGCCTCGTCCCTCAGCAAGCACAAGCCGTCGGGCATTTTTCGTCGTGTCAAATTCTCTAACTTGGCAGCATTTGTTCGTCAGCCCTGTTTTCGCCGAAAATAAAAAGTTTCCATAAATTGCTCCACAAATTTAAAAAGGTAAATTAAAAATAGGCAATGTCATGCGAATTTCGATTTCTGTGCCACTTTAGACGCCGTTTGAGGCGAATTTGACGCCGGAATTTTTTTCTCAAAGCCGTTCCAACTGTAATAACTCGGAAATCGTGCACATTTCTAGGGACCTTTTTGTCATTGTCATTCCTCATTATTTTATATTGGCAGTATTCATTTAAATGGTGCCACCGCGAGTTGTAAGAAGTGGGAAAAAATGCCGATTTTTGTTGATTTTCCCTCATTTTCAGCATGTCCGCGGCCAACATTCTGTGCCTGGTGTGCAACGGAAGCTGCGTCTCGTCCCGAAATTCGATCCAAGTCTTCAACAAGGAGGTACACCAAAAGCCCCCAAATCGTAACCTCTCTTCACACATCTCGCTTTTTCAGACTAAAACCAGCTCGGAGACGCCTCTTATCGACACTCTTAACAAAGTCTTGAACAAGGAACTGACTGAAGAGACTGCACATTCACAAGTTATTTGCAAAAAGTGCTTCAAAATTTTTGATGAAGTGGACGAACTCGAACACAGACTGCAAGAAATCAAAAACGAAGTCGTCAACAACTATACGAACGCCTTGACCAGACACAAAAACGGCGATAACCAAATGGAAGAGACTGAGGCCATGGAAAATGGAAAAGTGACTGATTCAAACAAGGAAAACGAACTTCCGCGAAAAATCCTAGATATCCCGTCTTCGGATGACGACACCAGCCAAGTAAGTCTTATCTAATGATTATCACAGTTTTTATCATTTAGTCCAGGTTATGGAGAAGAATCAGCTGCAGACTATTGAAGATATTGAAATGGAGCTGGTGAAGATGCATGGGGGCATAGAAAATGTGAACACAGTCAAGGATATCATCGACTCGGGGGCGGTTGACCACTCTTCAGACTCCGATTACGAGCCCCCAGTCGGTGTTGACAGCTTCAGCAAATCCAATCCTGAGATTAAAGTCAAAATGGAGCCTTCTTCGGACAGTGGGGTTAGCGATCGCCCCAATATCCTGCGTAAAAAGCCCACAAACACCGATACGTTAAAAATCAAGGAAGAACCGGTCCATTTGCAATCCATGGTGGCTCGACAAGACTCACTTTTCACTTGTATGGTATGCCAGGGTGAGGAGACCGTCGCAGGGGACGTACGAGCCATCACCGCCCATATGAAGAACGCCCACGACATTCGATTGTACATTTGCGACGTCTGTGGACAAGTATGTTCGAAAAATACTGAAAACTTGGGTTTTAATAATAAATTTCAGGATTTCCGGAAGAGGAACGAACTTTCGGCTCATCTCGACGAGCACGTGGCCGCTGAAGAAGGCGATTTTCAGTGCGAAGTCTGTAATCGAATTTTCAGTAATTTGCGTTTGTTTCGCATACATCGCCGCATGCACTACCCCCAGAACAAGGCGTGGGCTTGCGAGACATGTGGCAAGAAGTACAGCAGCAGAAATTTGCTTGAAGAGCATATAAATACGCACACGGGGGTTAGGCCTTATGTTTGTCAACAATGCGGCAAAGATTTCGCATCAAAGTACACTTTCAAGGCCCATGAGAAGACGCACGAGGTCAGGCCAAGGCCCTATGCGTGTAATCAGTGTCCCAAGTCGTTCTTGAGTCAGCAAAATTTGATCCAGCATGAGAGGACGCATACAGGGATTAAGGAGTTCAGTTGCCATTTGTGTGGAAAGAGGTGAGAGAACTGCTACAATAAATAAATTGTTAATAATAGCAAAAGAACCGAAACTAAAAAAATAAATAAATGTAGGGTAACATAAATGAGAGAAACAACTTAACAAAAGACTTTATTGCAGTAATAGGTATTTTAGTTTGAATTGTTTTTTGAATAAATTTATTACTTTTATTTTTAATCAATTTTAATATTGTTAAAAACGACCGTAAAGTTTTAAACGTATTTAATCAGATTGAATTTCCCCAAATGCTTAACTTCCTTGCAAACTTTGTCTGAGGGACATAGCGATTTTTTCTACACAAAAGTAATGCCTTTCAAACCTAATGTAGCGATTTTCTGTTCTGTTTTGCTAAAATTTAGTGAGTTTCCCGATTAAAGCAACCCCAAATTTTACAAAGCAATGTATTTCTACACCAGATTTAGGCATTTGTTGTCCTTATTTTGGTAAAAAAATGTCGAATTCAGTAAGTTTCTTGGTGGAAAATTAAAATAACCCATATTCAGATCTAATTTTCCAAAATCTTTTTCCTCTTGAATTTAATTATTTTGTTGATCATAGAAAATCTCTCAGGTTTAATAAGTTTTTCATTGAAAATACGCATTTGACGTGAAATTTTAGAATTTTTTATTTTGTTTTGGAAAAATCTCCCAATTTTAAGTACTTACCTTATCGTTAGCATTCGGAAATTCTTAGAAAATAACYTATTTTCCACATTATTTTGTGAGATTCTCAATGGCAAACATACTAAACTTAAAATAAAAAACAAACAGGCCATTTTCAGGTCTAATTTTCCTCTTGAATATCTTATAGAAAATCTTTCAGATTTAGTAAGCTTCTCAGTGAAAAACGCTGTAAATCCATCGAAATAAGTGCAAATAACGCATTTCGGAACTAATTTCGCAATTATGTGTTGAAAAAGTTTTCTGAAATTATAGAAAACACGCATTTGGAAATTTGGAATTGTCTGTATACTTTGTTTTGGGAAAATCTCTCGTTTTTGTTGAAAAACACTCCTAAATTCATAGAAAATAACGGGCTTTCTACATTATTTTGCGAGTTTCTCGGTGGAAAACACACAAAACTTACAATAAAAAATAAACAGGGGAAAATAACCTATTTTCAGATCTAATTTTCCAATTTTCTACCTTCTACCTGCGTTGACAAAATACTCCCACATTCAAAGAAAATCTCTCATATTTAATAAGTTTTTCAGTGAAAATCACTGTAAATCCGACAAGATTAGCGAAAATAACGCATTTCGGAACTAATTTTGCAATTATCTGTCTTATTTTGGCAAATTATTCGTAATAATGTGAGTTTTTCATTGAAAATACTCATTTTAAGTTAAATTTTAGAATTTTGTCCTTTGCTTTAGAAAATTTTTGAGTATTTATTGTTAAAATAATCACTCCGAAATTCTTTGAAAATAACGTATTTTCCACATTATTTTGCGAGTTTCTCTGTAGAAAACATACTAAATTTAAAATAAAAAACAAACAGGCGAAAATAACCTAATTTCAGATCTAATTTGTAATTTTCCTCTTGAATATCTTATAGAAAATCTTTTAGATTTAGCAAAGCTTCTTAGTGAAAAACGCTATAAATTTATCAAAATAAGTGCAAATAACGGATTTCGGAACTAATTTTGATATTATGTGTTTGCAAATTATTCTGAACTGTGAGGTTTTCATTGAAAAACTCTCCTGAAATTATAGAAAACACGCATTTAATGTGAAAGTTTGGAATTGTCTGCCTACTTTATTTTGGGAAAATCTCTCGTTTTTGTTCAAAAACACTCCTAATTTCAGAGGAAATAACGGATTTTCCCACATTGTTTTACAAATATGTCGGTGGAATAGATCTAATTTTCCAATTTTCGACTTGTGAAATTTTGTGAGCTGACAAAATACTCTTAAACTCAAAGAAAGTTTCTCAGATTTAATAAGTTTCTCACTGAAAAACAATGTAAATATATCGAAATAAACGCAAATAACGCATTTCGGAACTAATGTGTTCTATTTTGGCAAATTATTCCGAATTATGTGAGTTTTTCATTGGAGTATAGAAAACACGCCTTTAATGTGAAATTTCGGAATTATCTATCTACTTTGTTTCGGGAGAATCTCTCAATTTTGTTAAAAAAATTCCTCAAATCATAGTAAAATAATGGATTTTCGACGTTATTTTGTGAGTTTCTCGACGAAAAATAAGTAAATAATCATTTCGTAGCAAATTTTCTGCCCAAATATTTCGAATTTATGCCTTTTTTCCAGGTTCGGCTCTGCCCATAACCTCGAGGTCCACTCCATCGTGCATACCGGCTACCGACCCTTCGTGTGTCCCATCTGCCACAAGGCCTTCGCCCGCAAGGCGGAAATCCGCGACCACGAACGCACCCACACGGGCGAGAGGCCCTACCAATGCGAGATGTGCGGCGCCACCTTCTCCCAAAGATCCAACTTGCAGTCGCACAAACGGGCCACACATCTCGACGACAAGCGTTACGTCTGCGTGGACTGTGGCAAAGGCTTCAAACGGCGCCGTCTCCTCGACTACCACATGAAGGCGGCGCACACCGGCGAGAGGCCCTTCAAATGTAACGTCTGCGACGCCACCTTCGTCTATCCCGAGCATTTCAAGAAGCACAGACGTATACACACCGGGGAAAAACCCTTCCTGTGCGAAGTCTGCGGCAAGGCTTTCAATAGTCGGGATAATAGAAATGCGCACAGATTTGTCCATTCGGATAAGAAGCCGTATGAGTGTTTAGTCTGCGGGGCCGGGTTTATGCGGAAGCCGCTTCTGTACCAACACATGCAGAGTCAAGGGCATTTGAATGATACGATCGTCGTGAATCAGCCGAGGTTGACGACGGATGATGATCAATTAGTGACGGTGAATTCGAGAGGGGAGATGGAAATTGTGGATCCGATGTCGTTGGCGGAAGCGGTCGATGGGGATGCTAGTGTGACTGAAGACTCCAAATTGTACATTTCTGAGCATATTTTACAGTCGCCGAGTGAGCAGGAGCAACAAGAGGGCGAAAGTATGGAAACAGTGGAACACATAATCATCGATGGCCAACACATACGATTCGAAAATGAGGACGAGGAAGTGGATACAATCACAGGAGAGACGTTAGCAGAGAGTGAAACACAAATCATTGAAACGCCCGATGGTCCAGTCCAATTGGTCCGAGTACGCATACCCAACGAGCATGGCGAAGAAGAAGAAGCATGGATTAAAATAGTTCCAGAATAATTTATTTATTTCATTGTAAATGTAGCTAGGTTAGTTTTTTTTTTGTATTTGTATAAATAATTTTAAATATAATACGAGTTGAAATTATTTCTTCTTTGGTGATTTCGATTTACTTTTGCGTTTGGTTTTGCTCTTGGAGCGAGGTTTACGTTTGAATTTGCGTTTGGGTTTGTCGGCTTTGGATTCAGGACTGAGTTTTTGAGCGATTTTAATCACTTCGGGAGTTCGAGCGAACGAGTCGTAAGTGAACTTACTGCACGCTTTACCTAGAAAAATCATAAGTATTGGAATAAAAAGAAACCTAACTTACCGTCACAAAAATCTTCGCCACAGTCGATACAAGACACTACTCGTAGTTCCACAACCCCAGATTTGTTTTTTGTTTTACGGATTTGGGGGTCGAGGGAGTATTGGCGCTTCTCGAAGGCGCGCGTTTTGTTTTCCAGTTTTTTTAATTCGACCAATCTAGAAAGTGGTGATAATTCAAACAATAAAATAATCGCATTGTGAACCATATAATAATGTTTTTTTACTCTCGTATGACACACAAAGTTTTTTCAACAATTTCAACCTTTATCTAATAGCGGCTTACACATTAGTAGTAAAAAATTGTCGGTCATGGCCTAATTAATATAGTCCGACTAAAGTTAATTTATTACCTCGAAAAATAGTTTTCCTCCACCTTGCTTTTGGGCCTCACCGTCGTTAGCATTTTCCAATCGATTGGCACGGCTGCCAGTTCACTAATTTTCAAATTTCGCATTTCTTTCGGTAGAGGGTCTAGAAAAGTGTACGGTTCCTTCATCGCTTTCACATCTTTTTTCCCCGACTTAAATTTAAACTTCTTATCTCGAATTTTAACACTTTCGATGTGAACCTTTTCCTGCTTGATCTTAAAATCGGGCACCTTTTCAAAAAGTCTCTTAAACTCCTCTTGATTGTTCGCTACACTTTTCGACAAGTCCAAAATGGGCGCAGTTTCTTTCTTCTTTCCCAAAAAGTCGTCAAGTTTCGCCATAATTCTAAAAATCAGTTGCATGGTATTAAAAAAGTGCACAAAATCGTCTACACTTTTCGGCAAACAACGAATTAGTTAATTATTTTCAGTGTTGCGAGTCGATGATGAAAGACTCGGAGTTCTAGGAGACCTCTCCCACTGTTCCTGTTTCAACACCAACCCATTATGAAGCGACGCCAATTTATCCATAATATAAGCCGAATTTTCCACATTTTCCTTGCAATCCGGAAGTCGGCTATCCCGCGGCGACGTATGCTCAATTTTCAAAATTTCCGTCTTTGTTTCACAGCGACATCTACAGCAACATTCGCATTTCTGCGGATAATAAATTTGCTCTTTATCCGACTCCAATGGAACGATTTCAGTCTGATACATCCGAATATTTCGGGCGAAAAAATGGTCATTTTTGCGCCACAAAGCCCTAGTGTGTCTCTTCTCGACGTAATTCTTCTTCCGGTACGTCCGCGGACTTCCGGTCTGACTTTCGTCACTCGAATTCTTATAATCGCGCGTTTTTTGCCTCATCTTCCGTCTCTGATAAAACGGATCTTTTTCGCTTTGTTTCATGTAACGTGTAGGGGGCCTATTTGCCCCCCATTTCGGCTTCTCTTCACTCCTATCATCACTCCGACTCCTCCTCTCTCTCCGATTCTTATTATCATAATTCAATTCCAAATTCGTGAGCTTCTCCCGAATAAATTTCTGATTGTTGCTATTATCAATTTCGGGGGGTCTCACGTTATTAAAATCGCAACAATCGGTTTGGGTGCTACTATCACAAACTGTGCGATTTTTATTCCTGTATTGGGTAGGTGTTAAAATACGGTTTTCCGTCCTTGAGCTAAAACTGCCACTAGTTTTTTCCGGAGATACAGCCAAGGGTATGGCTATGGGGACGGCGCTGTTGCCCCCCAGACTCGGCATCAAAACGGCATATTGCATATTTTGAAGCGTTTCTAAAGGAGTTTGTAAAACTAGAGCCATTTCGGTTCGTGGAGTTGTCAAAACTTGAAAACTACAAGATGATTTCAAATTTCTGGGGGTATTTGACCGGTCATTGTTTCGAGGTGACAAATTCTTTCCTGTCACTTCCAAGTTATTATTGACTTCGTTATGCAAAACTTCGGTTCTCGGAGACACCACCAAACACTTATTATTATTATTGTTATTAGTGTTAACATTATTATTATTAATGTTCTCTTGTTCCAAATTGTTTTTCTTACTTATTGTCTCATTCTCTTTCTCAATGTTATTTTTCGCTTCCTCAACGACGTTGTTTTGTTTCATCATTTTTTGTTTCATTTTTTCCATTTTTGCTTCCTTTTCTGCAATTTCCAACGCTTCCTTGATTGCTTCTTTCCTCTTCCTTTCTCTTTCTTGCTTTTCTCGAATCGCCCGCAACTCGTTTTCTTTTCTTCGTCTTTCCATTTCTTGTTCTCGTTCGATTCTCAATTCTTCCTCTTGTTCTTCTTTGATACGTTTCTGTTTTTCTTCGAGTCGTTTTCTTTCACGTTCTTCCAATTGTTGTCTTATTGCTTCCTGATGTGCTATCGCGATCTGTCTTCTTCGTTCTCGTTCTGCAAGTTCAGTCGAATCGACTGGAATGTTTTGGCCTCGAATAAAAGTCCTAAAAATTGTTTTGGACTCTTGTCTGTGACAAAATAATTACGATTACCGATTAAAAGCACTGCTACTAGTGTAAGGCCTTTCAATTTCCTCCTCTTGGTGTTGGGGAGATTCTGCTGGTGAGGTATTTGAAACAATAATTTCTTCGTCTCTTTGGAGCCCCCTTTTTACCCAGCTTGGAGGGTCGTTTTCCCCACAATCCCAGAATTTATTTTTGTCTTTCCATTTCGGCCGATCGTCTTTGTAACTAGAGGAAGATTCGTACCCTGATTGGTTCCAATTATTCGTGGGTTGATTTTCTTGGTTGTTGGTAGGATTGTCACTACCATAACCAGAAGTCTCACCACCCATCTCCTTATCAATCGAATTGTACTGATTTTTTGATAAAGGGGGCAAACTGGAACGTCTGGTAACACTATTATTGCGGAAGAACTCGGAATTAGGCATTGACAATTTAGGAACATATCTATTCCTAGAAAAAAAATACGGTATTTTAGGATGGTCAAGAAGCGAAATACCTCTGGAATGGCCTGTCGAGGGTTTGCGGGTCTTTGTTGGTGCCCCACGGGGCGCACAAACCGGCCAGTTCTTCTACAAAAAATTCACACAAATTTCTGATTGAATTTTCGAAATGTTTACCTTTTTCTCTCGCCCACTGCAATTTCTTCCGTTCGATCAGCGACAAGGGTTTGTCTACGTACGTGGACATTTCATTTTACTCTTAGCAAACAGTTTTATCGAGCAATATTTTTATATTACTGAAAACTAGAAAAAGAAAGAAAATCTTGTGCCAAAAAGTGTAGACGGTGCTTGGTGACACAATCAATATTAGTCAAGGCAAATTATCAACAATGACACAAAATAAAAATTCTTACCTTTTGCTTGAAATTTGAGTCAAAAAAATAGTTTTTCGAAAAAAAATTTCACACAGACTGTTTCACGTAAAACGAGTGAAAGTGTAATGAAACTAAAACCACAATAATGTATGCGGGAAAACTTATCTCGTATTTGATCAATGTTATTGCTATAGCAACAACTATTCAAACATCTTGAAGGTGAATAACCCATTTGGTTGATGGAATTGAAGGGGCGTTTACCATCTATTTGCGTGTGATTTGTTTGGGGACGACGTAGAAATATTTATACGGGAAGTGACCCCCATATTTGATAAAATGTTACGCAATTTGAAGCTGGTACATTGAGAAATAACTGGTGTGAAGGAACTCAACAATTCGCCCTAAACCCCCATTATTTTTATTTTTGTGTGTGAATAACGCTTTAGTAATTAAATCTTATCACCATTTTAATTATTCAAATCTCTGCAACGCCTAGAGTATAATTTCCTCTATAACCCAGTTGTGGCATGCAACAAATACGCGAATCACCCTAATTTGCGACCCAATTCCTATCTTGGAAACGACATATGCATGCAAAACAAATCTATGAAAATTCATGAAGAACGCGAATTCAATTTTCATGTTTCCCTAATTTGATTTATATTAGTTTGTGAAAAAGTAGGTCTCTATTCGATTTTTTTATTACTCCACTTACATAAACAAGAAAATAATTTTTAGAGGCAGAATTTCGGAGAATTATTTGTTACGTATGTGCACCATTTTATAAATTAATGTGGTTTACTTTCATAATTAGAATGAATCAATCAATACTGAAGGATTTAAAACAGAAATAGAAAAATTAATATTTTCTGTATTAAAGAAGTTAATTCCAACTATTTTGCTCATTTATTATTTTTTTCTAAAGGTTGTGCTTGTAAAGATTTTCTCGGGCAATAAATTTATAACAACGCAAAAACAGAATTTTATTCCAAAGTAACAGAATTTATTTTCCTTTTTCTAACTATAGATAAGTCTTACATAGCTAAAAAAAGAAATACTTATATATAGATTTTTTTCTGTTGATATTAAATAATAGGTAATACGAACACTTCTAGTAAAGTTTTTAAATGAAAAAAATGATTTTGCAGTTTTTAAGGTAAGTATATTAAAAAACAAAAAAAGAAAGTTCCTGAACATTTAATTTAAATCTATCTATTTTCCTCAAGCTTGTTCAACATTTACTTGTTTTCTTCAAAGTATTTCTTGGTTGAAGATAGAAGAAAATAATTGACAACGATTGTCTATTTTTTGCAAATTGATGAGTCCAATAAGCTGTATTCTAAAAAACTATTTTGTTTGATCTTACCTGGTGTTCTAAAGCGATTTATCAGCAAGCTATTTTTCTTAACGTTTATAATTCCAATAGCTTCTGTTGTTAACATAAAGACGGGTTAAACACCTTTGAAATTTTAACTTTTATAAATATTCTGTAAAACAACTTTAAAATCTCTTGAAATTTTCATTGAAAAAAATCAAACATTAACAATACTTCTTTAAAATAAATATCGGAATGTCAAATTCCAATGGAATAAATAGTAGATTACATAGCAAGATGGCCATTGTCAAGGCGTGAAGCAATAAACCGAGGTACGATGAAGCAACGACCACCAAGGTTTATATACTATTGTATTCACAATCATCCTCCTTAAAGTCAATAAAAAATTAATCAAATTTTGATTGTATTTTAAGTTTTTACTAAATAGGCAATAAACAAAATGATCTTTTGTCAAAGTAACTGGCTATATCTGTAGAAAAATGTCCAATATTAATAGTGATAGTGAAATAGAATGTGTTGCTCTTAAACTCAAGGAAGTTGCTAAAGGAGCAACAGAAAATTTAAAAAACATAGGTTGGGAAATGGCTACTTCCCAACATGAAGTTGAAATATCATACTTTCCAACTTTTCACATGCAAGGTAATTTGATTATCACTTTATAAGTGCGAATAAAAATATTATATTAAGAAACAACTACCAGGTGAACAAAAAGTATGGAACCAATCGTTTTTTTCGTAAACTAAGCACTTTACGAAAAAAATAATTAGTGTAGCGTAAAGTCCAATTAAAATGTGACCATTTATCAAGAATAACATTTTTCGAAATTTCTTTTAGTTTTCGAGTTCTGGAATAATTTTTTTTTTTAAATGGCAACTCACCATGGTAATTTTTTAAATTAAAGATTATGATCTAAAAATGACCTCTAATTAAATAAAATTGTTTTTTAGCCAGTACTTTTTTTTTAATTAATTGTTAAAATTGCGTTCCGAGCTCATCACGAAGATTTTCCGAACTTAACCGAAGTGGTTGTTTCATACTTTTCATCATGGGAGAGCGCTGATTTCTATGCAGGTGCTTTGGGGTGGTTTCGAATCGACTAAAAATAGAAGAAAATGATTGTTTTTACATTTTTTGATCCATCCGGAACCACCCCAAAGCACCTGCACCAAAAACCGGACTCTCCAACTACCAAAGTTATGAAACGACTCCTTCGTTCAAGTTCGGAAAATCTTCGTGACGGGCTCGGAACGCAACTTTAACAATTTATTAAAAAAAAAGAACTGACTAGAAAACAATTCTGTTTAATTAGAGGTCATTTTTAGATCATAATCTTTAATTAAAAAAATTACCATAGTGGGTTGCCATTTAAAAAAAAAAATTTTTTCCAGAACTCGAAAACTAAAAGAAATTTCGAAAAATGTTATTCTTGATAAATGGTCACATTTCAATTGGACTTTACACTACACTAATTATTTTTTTTGTAAAGTGCTTAGTTTACTAAAAAAATGCTTGGTTCCATACTTTTTATTCACCTGGTATATGCTAATTTGAAAACAATTGCACGTACTCGTACAGTCAAATTAAAAACAAAGTGGTCCCCAATGTCATTTCCAAAGTTAATAAATAAATAGTAAATGATATACATTTTCACAAAAAAGATTTGATGATAAATTATCAAACTTCATAATGCCAAATAATGTATTTTTGTAAATTTAAGTTCGCTGATTTACTCAGGAATAATTAATTTTATGCCAAAATGTGACATTAACGACCACTTTTTTTTAATTTGACTGTTGTATATCACACAGAGTGCATCATGTTGTTACATTTTTAAATACAGACGAACTTTCACGCAACCCAATTAAATTTAAACTTTAATTTTTTCCGTAAATAGAGCAAATAGTGCTCCACACTTGCGTCATTTCCATCTTTGATATATAAAGATCGTCCGCATTCTTGCATAAACAGGCGTGAGGGAATGATAAGACAATTCCGCACACGAAACCGTTCATCGACTCGGAAACTTATGAATCGTAAAGGTCATCAAACGGAACATGATTATCGATTCGCTTCCAAATCCCGATAAATCTCCACCAATCATCCCACCACAAGACTCACCTGTCCAAATCAAGCTTCTTAAATATGCTAATGCCGATTTAATTGACACCAGCAGCACCGCTATTTGCACCAAACACTTCAATCATGCTTCAGTGCGCGACTTTCAGCAGACCAAGATGCGGCGGCAAATTTTTGTGTTATTTTTTCTGCTACATCTGAAAAATGCCAGAGTTATCCTTCCGACGGTACCTGATGTCATGCATCCACCCGTACCCGACGACGGTAGTATCAATACATTCCATAACACCTAACGGTAAAAAATGTCATTCAGCTAAAGTCGACCGAGATATGGCTTTCATGATGGAAGACCCAGATCCTGAAGTCACTCCTGGACTCTTTCAGGGAGACATGGCGATGACCAATGAGATTTACAATTACTGGAGAGTCGGGATACGGTGGGATGTGTTTCCGGAAAAGCTATGGGTCAATGGGACAGTCCCGTATGTTATTAGCCCCATTTATGGTCAGTAATAACGCAAGGAATTTCCAAGACTGTAACAGTTTCTCGTCACAGAACCATCAGACCAAGTGACAATTTTAAAAGCCATCCATATTTTAAACTTCATGACTTGCATACGGTTCGTACCATGGGATGGTAAAGCCAAAGATTATCTCCTAATCTGGCCCATCAAATATCCCAAAGGTTGTTGGTCTTTTGTGGGCCGTTTTGGAGGCGCGCAGATTGTAAGTCTGCAACCACCAGATGCCACAAGCCCTAATTGTCTTGGTACTGAAGGAAGAGCCGTCCATGAATTAATGCACGCGTTGGGTGTTTTCCATGAACAGTCACGATGGGACAGAGACAAGTTTGTTAAAATCCACATGGACAATATCATACCACGTAAATTACCACTTACTTAGTTTCATAATAAACTGTTTTCTTTTACAGAATATAAAACGAACTTCGATAAACAAAGTCTTGAAAATACGACTTACAGCTTCGAATATGACTATGACTCAATAATGCATTACGGGAAATACTTCTTCAGTAAAGGCAAAAATAAACCTACAATTACAGCAAAACAACCAGGGATCAAAAGGTTGGGTCAGAGGAAGGCTCTTTCTAAGGGAGACTGTTTGAAACTCAATGATCTTTATGGTTGCTTCGATAACCCACGACTCCGTCGCAAATACTACACTTTATGTCAATTTATGGGAATTTAATTTATTTAAATAAAATTAATTAATCTTCTATTTGTCCTGTTTTAACCGATGCTGATAAACTTCCCAATTCTTCCTCTTTAACCACTTCTTGGCCTTCAACTGTCGGCAAGTCAGTTATCGGGTCATACTCTTCTTCAAAGACATCGTAAGGTATGAAATTCTTCGGTGCTGGCCATGCTTTCACTGAAAAACAACACAACTAACAATACTACCCAAATAATCATAATACAGCTGAAGTCTTTCGATTGTCCGATATGTTCGTAATAGCGATGGTACTGTTTCAAGGTCTTCAAATACTGGCAATTGGTCAAAAATTTTAAAAGTTTCACTTCAGGAAGGTGCTCATAGTAGGGGTCGCGTTCGACCAAACTCTTAGACCTCCGCAGTTGAGTAACATCAGGGACTCTGTCTTCATCAGAACTCTAAAACCGATTTTCAAAGGCCGTTCAACACAGAGAGATAATTACGTCGCTGTCTTCCTCCCTTTTGGCCCGGGCTTTCAACTGGTCGCTGATAAAGGCATTAGCAAATTTGTATAATCGCTCGCAGCACTCTGTCACGTACATCATGGAGCTTTCTAAGCCGCTGTTAAGGTCGAACTCCTCGACGCGTTCAGCGGGACGGCCGAAATGAGACATCCATTCGTTCCAAAAACGCTAATTAGAGATTTTTGGGGGCTGAAAGTGAGAGTCGTACCGCTTTAACGTGATGGATTGCTGATAGGAGTCGGACGTTATCGATATTCTCGGATTCGTGTTCAAACAACAGGCTCAAGTGTTTGTGGAGGGCTTCTTCGGAACCTTCGGCTATGTAGCAGAAATAGTTGGCATAGTAGAGAAGGATTCCGGATAAAGGTTCAGTAAGGTATCCAGTATTGGTTAGTTTGTAATTTTTTTCCATTGCTTCTACTATTCCAGAGGAGGAGAAACTGTGTTCGCCAATGTATAGTAATCGATGAATGTAAGTAACCTGAAATTTTTTCCTAAAGGAAAGTTTAAGCTTGTCACTGCGTACCCTCTTTGCTATTTTTAAGTTCGTTTGAACTACATCGTATAAAGATCTTCTGAGTGGTTCAAGTACCACTTGCCTTGATGACTCTTTACTTTTCTTTTTCCCTTTGTACCTCTTCATTCTTGACATTTTATTGACAAAACTATTTCTATGGGAACTGACAGGATTTAGGACTTGTATCAAGGTAAATTAATGAAACCTTTCTTACAAAAAAACACTTTATTTTTTCTCATTAATTCTAATGACGGACTGTCGGATATATTTAGGAAAAAAATTATATTGTCAATATAAACTAAAGTCAAATCTAATCACAGTTACAAACATTAATAAGAGAAAAACTTAATTGCTATGTATTGAGAAAATACAAAAAAATTCATTTAGAACGAACGTTCAATAAATATTTACCACAAATAAATAAAAATTCTTTTGTAATTAATTAGCAACTAAGTTGGGACGCATATGGAATGCATCTGAAGAAAAATACTGTATCAGGTCATTCCCTTGTCCACACTGTAATAGTTTAATAACTTCCGTTGCTATATCCGTTGGATCGTCCGCCATTGTTGAATCTCTGATGATTTCTTGGACCGCTGTTTTCACGCCCTCTAAAACTACCACCGTAGCCCCAACGACCACCACTGCCTCCTTTACTGCCAAAACTCCCACAGCGATTGGCCATTTCGGAGAGTTTTGGGTTGACAACCTATCAACAACGAAAAATAATTAATTTACGGTTTAATTAATTTTACAAAAAAATGTTGGGAAACTTGAGGATGGGATCCAGACAGAATTTGTGTGGACACCGAAGGCATATTTCCCAAAAATCAATCTCCCTTCCTTCAGCACTCATGCATTGCCGACTTTTTCCAAGCAAAGGCATGCCAAAAAGAAAGGGTTTGATTTAAAATTGAGAATTCTTACCTGGTTTGCTTCTTTAAGAACGGAAACCAAATCTTTGGCTTGTCGGAAATTGGATGGAGTGAAGAAAGCATAAGAGGTACCGGTGGTGTCAGATCGACCTGTTCTTCCTATTCTGTGAATATAATCTTCAGAAGAGTTGGGATAGTCATAGTTTATGACATATTTAATTCCTTCCACATCTAGAGAAAATCTTGTTTTATATGGGTTACACGTGGTAAATTTTGTTAATTATGTTAGCAAACACAGAAAAAAATTAAACCTTGATTTAACAAAACCAAATTAGTTAAACACAAGTTAATGACATGGCTTTTCAATCAAAAAACAATAACAAGTTTCGTAACACTTTTTTCTGTAGAATTTTACAACGTTCCAGTGGTTGAGCAATAAAAACTGTTACAAAACTGTCATTGCATTATTGATATAAATAAAAAATATCAAGAATACTAACCATGACTCGAGTTTCAAGTGATCCACGAAGTTGTGAAGCATTTACAACAAATCATCGGAACAGCTATAGTAGCAAAATGGCTGCTGCAGTGATGTCCGAGCGCATGTGCTGCTGGGATCAATAAATATGCGGGCGCTCAAACACTGCAGGACCGAACGGAAGACAAATACTCAAATTTGAATGACATTTGTTTGACTTGACTTTTGGTAATTCCCCGAAACTTGGCAGTTTTTTTGATAGAAAGGATTAGGGAAAAACAGGATACAAGGTGTAGGTTTGTATACCAAACATGTGCCATATTTGATGCGAATGCACATCAAATCTTCCATCGGTCTTCTACCTCCTCAAATGATCTACCTCAGAGCGGGGTAGCCAGCCAGAGGCACCGCAAGACACAGAATTGCATCCTTTACAAGAACGCAACAAAGGCGTAATTATTAGCACTTGCTAAATACGCTCATCCTGCATGTGCCTCTGAAACAAAAAAGGACAACCAGACTGATTAAAAATCTGTCCCCTGTGGTATTTCAAACTTAACAACTAAGCTTACATATACAATGAAACTCTTTTGGCTTGTTCCTACGTTGATCATGCACACTCCCAAACCCACCCCCACGCATTCGAATTTTTGAAAAACCAGTCTGGAAAATCCCCCAAGTGCTACTATGCCATACTGAATATTCCCGAATTAAAATGTATAAGTGATAAATTTGAAAAAACTGAACATGGTTAAATTCCAAAAAAGAAAGATGAAAAATCAAACGTTTCGTTTGAAGAACTTCAGTAAACCTACCCAAGCCACGAGCAGCTACGTCTGTAGCAATTAAAATGCTCGATTTTCCATTTCGGAACTCTCTCAACACGAAATCGCGCTCTTGTTGACTCTTGTCTCCATGCATGCAAACGGCGGGCCATCCGTAACGTCTAATTGTTCGAGTTATACCTTCTACCTTCTTTTTTGTTTCTACGAATATGATTATTTTTGCTCCAGGCTCGCCGTTATTGCCGATTTCTTGCAACAAGTTATTCAATCTGTAAAAAAACACACATCATAAATTTCTCGCATTTTTTGCTCAAAATGTAAAATAATCAAGTGTTTAATCAGGTCTTCTTAGAGGTTTGGGTGTCTTATAATAACATCAATATTACTTCAGCATTTTTTCTCATCATTTTTAGCATACTATAAAAAAATAAAAAGTAAAAACACTTACTTTGTTTCCTTTTCGTGTTCCTGGCAAACATCAACGATTTGAAGAATGTTGTGGTTGGCTGACAATTGCAACGACCCAATATTGATTTGTACGTAGTTTCTCAAGAAATCTTGTGCCAATTTTCGGACTTCTTTGGGCCAAGTTGCTGACCACATCAAAGTCTGTCTGTCAGGTCTGATTTGTTCAATAATTTTCCGTATTTGGGGCTCAAAACCCATATCCAACATCCTATCAGCTTCATCCAGCACCAAATATGTGCATCTTTGCAAGTTGGTGGTGCCCTTCTCAAGAAAATCAATCAAACGTCCGGGGGTTGCAATACAAATTTCGACTCCACGTTCCAAATCTCTGGCTTGAGGTCCCTTGGGTGCGCCTCCAAAAATGCACGTGTTTCTCACATATGACGAGCTTCCAAAATCATGAGCCACTTGCTGAATTTGTTGTGCCAGTTCTCGTGTGGGGGCCAAAACTAGAGCTATTGGACCATCGCCACGCTGGATGGATGGCTGGTTATTGATATGGACAATCGCTGGTAAGATATAAGCCAAGGTTTTGCCCGATCCAGTCTGGGCAATGCCCACCAAATCCTTCCCACTCATCGCAATGGGCCAGCCTTGGGCCTGGATGGCCGTCGGCGTGTCGTAGCCCTGTTTCTGGATCTCGTGTTGGACATAGTCGGGGAAACACGCCTCTTCGAAATTCTGGATAGGGTTGGGAGCGTCGCCATCGATTGTGATTTCCTTCGACCTTCTGTACTGTTCGACTTCGTATTTAGACCTGTTGGCAACCGCGGGGTGAGGGACGTAAAAATCTTTTTTGAAAGGACGCAAGTTCTTCATGTCCCAGTTGGGTTTTCTGAGCCGATTGCCCGGGGAACCGCCGCCGCCGCTACGGCCGCCGAATCGGCTTCCTCCGCCGCCGCCCCCACCGCCATTCTTGAAGCGACTACCGCCCCCGAACCCGTTACGACTTGCGCCGCCGCCAAAACCCCCTCCGTTCTCGGAGCCACGGCCGCGGTACGAGCCGCCATTTTGTTTACCGTAAGACCTGGGAGAGACAAAGGCGGATACAGTCAACAATTCCATTTTATGCAAAATCGTTGTGGTTTTTCAGTTATTTGATAATTAATGACAAATCGAATGACGCACAACTTTGATTATTGATTATTAGCGAAAATTTGGAAGGCAGCTGGAGAACAAAAGAACGGCAGACATTTTTAAATATCCGACTCGATTTTAGTGAAATTACGAAAAAATCGCGAAAATACGTTCAAATTCAGGTTTCTGAATAATAAAATAATATACTTACATGATTAAATTTGTCGGATGGTGTTTTCTGAGGGTGAATAAATTTGATTCTTGCAATTATTTGGAGTTGCGAATTTCTGTAAGATAATGAAAAACGACATTAAAAATTAGCTCACTTTGTTTTTTATCGGTTCAAATATAAGAAAAACAGTTCATTTTGAGGTAAAATCGTGTTTTTTGTGAACAATTTGAGGAAATATCAGGAAATTAAAAAAAGGATTACTCACCTCAACAACGTCCAAAGTTGAAGAGAAAGATGGTGGCGAATTCGGGTTGCAAGGAGAGAGGAGAGTTCTGCACATGCGCAGTAAGTAATGCGACGGTTTCTGGGATCAATAAAACGGAAACGATTTTTTTTGCACAATGGCGGGGAATTTGAAAATGTGCACTTTTTCTATTGTTGCGAGGTGAAAACGAATAGAGAAAGTAGCTCATGATTTGCGTCTAAAATGTGAAAGTGCATAAAATTTTCATCGTTTTGCAAAAACATTAGATAATTACTTAAAATGCACTCTTTAATATCTTGAGAAAAGTATAATAGTAGATTGGGTTAATTAAGGAATAATAATAATAATGAGAAAAAGACAGTACATTATAATAAATTATTTTTGCTTCCTTGTTTCGTAATAATTCACTTTACTTACCACACCATGATACAAAAAAACCATCACTTTCCTCATATAGTCTTTGTTGAAATACGAGTATTTAATCTTTCATGGAAGGGTGTAAGAAAAAGGCGTTTTTGTAATGGTACATTTTTATTTGAAATATTTGAATAAACAATTAAATTCGGTTTTTTGACATTTTAAACAAACGAGATGGAACACTTCCTCAATTTTTCTTTCAAAAACAAGTTACATATTCAAGTGGTACACTTTGAAAGTGTCAAATAGAAATTTTTCGTTCAATTACGTTTTGTCGAAAGTCGAAACTTGGTGTTACAATTTCCGGTTACAGGACCTATGAGAAAATTCCATCTTTTTCATTGAAAATTTCAATTCCTAATTTAGATTTGTTCGCAAAATATAAATATTTCGTTTTGTTTTTAATGCATATACATACATCCAGGTTAAAAATTGAAATTTGCCAAGAAAAACATTAGAAAATGAAATATATATTTAAATTACAACTATATTAATACTGTATTACATACAAGAAATGCACTTGCTGGAAACTTACAGAAGAGTATATAAATAATGACTTTTTTTTAACAATAACTGTATTTTTTCCTTTAGAGAGTTTTAATGCGAGGGTCATGCAACCTAATTTGAGAAGAATAAACCCACATGTAAATAAAACATGACCGAAATCGCGCTTTCAACGAATCACAAGTTCAGATTCGAGACTTATAATTACAAGGTACAAATATTGAGAAGAAATAAAAAAAAACAGGAAAAAATATTAAATATTATATAAAATCGTTAATCGTTATGATGCATTGGCGCGAATGATAACGTCATAGAATAATGAAATAACTTTGTGCTTTACGCACTCAGTCCGAGTACCGAGATACGCTCTCACTTTCCATTAAAAAAAACTCATTTAAAAAAGTATAACAGTAAAAATCTTTGAGGTTCAAAACGGGCCGCTAGCGACCTTGCTTTAAAACAAAATATTATCTAGAGATATTTCAGTCTTTTTTATATAGAAAATATCACATTCCTATCTATCAACGTTATTGTACATAGCTTAATATAATAACGCTTGGCGTTTCTCCCAGTCACGGAAAGTTAATGTTATTATTCTTTTGCTACCTTTTAAATCGTTAATATCACAGATGGACGTACGCGCTAATCAGCACCACGCTAAACGACGAACGAGTTAAATACTTAATACTACACATATTTACACGACACAAGCAGTCATGTCAAGAATCGCAATAAATAAAAAACGAAAGGTACGAGTCACTTGCACACGACACGTACGGCTAAAACTCTCACTCTTTCTGCTGTCTAATTATTTCCAGTACAGTCAAAACATCCATACTAACAAATCAACGATTCTCTAAAATCAACAAATCCTCTTTTTACCCGTTGTTTGACTGGACTCACCTAAACAGCATCGATTTTAGTTTTCATTTGATATAAAATACTAGAACGAAACGAGCCCGAACTCCCCTTCTATATGTTTCGTGCATTTCAACAGCATACAGATAGTTACTTCTATACTACCTAATTCTCGTCACCGAGAACACACAGATTACACACTAAATATATAAAGACAAAGACCGACCAAAACAAACACCTCGAGTAGTCGGAGAGCCCAAAACATTAAGCCAAAGCGGTGCGAACCGTCATCATCCCCTCCAATTAAAAAAAAAAAAACATCAATTTACAACAGGGTTACGTACATCGACTAAAAAACGGGGATGGTACCATCTGACGGCAGATTTATTGCTGTACGGTGGCGGTTGCGGGCTGTTGAGTATAAGAGTAGGTGGTGTAAGGGAGCGGACCTTGGAACTGGTTGTAGGGACTTTGACCTTGACCCATCGATTGATAAGCACAAGGATTGGTAGTGTTGGGTATGCGATTGCTCTGGAAGAACTTGTGGTTCATTATCGATTGAATGCCGTCGGAAGGGGGGCCTGGTGGCATCATATAAGCCGGCGGTGGGACGGTGTACATGTTGGGGCTGTTGGTCTGCGGGAGGCCCCCGTAAGCCTGGCGCTGGTTGAAACGCTGGTTGTAACCGCGATTGTTACCTTAAAAACCGATATCACTCATTCCAATTATCTCATAATCAATCAATAATTCTTTATTATTACTCTTTAATTTATCAATCAATAAAACCTACCATAATGCCTGGGTCCGCCATTTTGTTGGGGCTGTTGGTACATGGGCGGACTGTACGACGTTTGGTACCCTTGTCCATTCTGGAATTGCGCATTTTGGTACCCAAACCCATTCGAAAAACTCCTATTGTTTCTCTGCATGTCGTTCCTTGGCCCGTTTCCATTAACTCTCGGTCCTCCATTCTGTCTGTACTCCCCAAAATTCTTATTCCAGGTCTTCCCTCCTCGATTCGAATTATTCGAATTTGGTGAGGAGTTATCTTTGCTGCGGTTATGCCATCTGTTCCTCCCGTTTTGTGAACTCCTCGCGTTTTGTGCCATGTCTCTCAACTCAGCTGAGACGTTCTGGCCGGCTTCTTCGAGCACAGCGATCAAGTCCTTCGCCTGGCGTTGATTATTCGACGTGAAGAAGGCGTAAGCTGTGCCGGCTTGTTGACAGCGGCCCGTGCGACCAATCCGGTGGACGTAATCCTCGCTCGAGTTCGGATAATCAAAATTGATGACGTATTTGACGTCTTCGACGTCGAGACCACGAGCAGCCACATCAGTAGCAACCAAAATCGATGATTTGCCATTGCGAAACTCGGAAAGGACGTAGTCGCGCTCTGGTTGGGATTTGTCGCCGTGGATGGAGATGGCGGCGTAGCCCTCGCGACGAATACATTTGGTAATATCATCGACTTTCTTTTTCGTTTCTACGAAAACTATGATCTTGTTACAGGAATCGGAACCGATTTCTTTCAGGAGTTTGCAGAGTTTGTCTTCTTTTTCAGACTCTTCGCACACTTCGACGATTTGCTTGATGTTGTGGTTAGCGGCCAAAGAGAGACCTCCAATATTCACCTGTCGAATTTATGTTAGATAACATTTAAACCGATTTTAACTTTACCTGAATATAATCGACCAGAAACTCCTCGGCGAGAGCTTGTACCTGTTTCGGCCACGTCGCCGACCACATCAGGACCTGTCTATCGGGCCTCACTTGCTGTATAATCTTCCTAATTTGGGGTTCAAAGCCCATATCAAGCATCCTATCGGCCTCATCGAGCACCAAATACGTGCACCTTTGCAGATTCGTCGTCCCCTTCTCCAAGAAGTCGATCAAACGTCCTGGAGTGGCAATAACAATCTCGACTCCGCGTTCCAAATCGCGGGCTTGGGGCCCCTTCGGCGACCCCCCGAAAATGCAGGTATTCCGCACCATCGTCGTGGACCCGAACTCATGGGCCACTTTCTGTATTTGTTGAGCCAACTCTCTCGTCGGCGCTAGAATCAGCGCGACGGGGCCTTCGCCCCTCTGAGGCCTCTGCTGGTTGTTGATGTGCACCACGGCTGGTAACATGTATGCTAGGGTTTTCCCCGATCCGGTCTGGGCGATGCCCACGAGGTCCCGGCCAGACAACACCACAGGCCAGCCCTGCGACTGAATAGCGGTAGGCTCCGCGAAGCCCTGTTTCAGGATCACCTGCATGATGTACTCTGGGAAGTTGCCCTCGTCGAAGCAGAGATTGGGACTGGGGACGTCGTTGCCCCGCACGATGATGTCTTTCACTTCGCGGAAGCTGTCCACATCTTGAGCGGCGCGGTTTTTCACGTTGTTGTGAGGAATGTAAAAGTTCTTGCGAAATGGTTTAAGCTCGATGCCGTTCCAGAGGTTCAAACTTACGAGTTGTTGGTCCTCTTGGGGCTTCTTTTTGTATTGTTTCGGGCCGCCGAAATCTTGAACGGGGGCCATGGTGTGCTGCGGAGGGCCGTACCAATAGTTTGATTGTTTACCGAATTGTTCACTTCGGTCAGGCCGTGACCTGTATCTTTGAAAAATTACATTCATTAAGAGAAAGGCTCGGAAACGTGGTGTATTTTTTTTAATCGAAGCAAACAAAAGAAACGCTGTTTTTTAATAAACCTCCTAAGTACCCTTTTGTACATTAGCGAAAGGTTGAACTGGGACACTCTGTATAATTTATGAATAATGAAATGGCAGCCATTTTGTCGAAGTAAAAACAATTGGATTTCAGTTTTATGAAAATTGTTCAATTTTCGCATTTTTATGCAAATTTAATTAATTAAACGTTACGCGAACCCTTTTATTAGGTAATTATTGATTTATTTGAACAAAGGTCACTTTTTTGTAATGCAGTTTAAATAAAAAAAATTAACAAAATCACAGTTTGTCCTCATAAAAAACCGAATATTGCAAACCGTTCCTTGTTTTTTTCATTATTAATCCCCAAAAATCTCAGATTGCATGAAATTCGATACTTAAAATGGCAGCCTTAGAAAGTGGCACAAGAGGTCATCCGCTTTTGAACAGGATCATATTTCGGTGTAAATACCCGAAATAAAGGAAAAATCATCGCTACTTACACTGAATTGTTGTGGAAAACGTTGTTGTACTGCATATTGCAGCGAAATTCGTTACCAAATGCGTTTCAATGGACTCCACTGGTCAAAAATCTGCGAAGAAAGGAAAGTGTCAAAGTCATGAAAACTGTGAGGATTTAAGGCCGTGGTAGCATGAAGTGCAACATCAAGTGCCCTAAATACATCTAGTGTGTTAAATTCAGTGCAAAGTTTACAGATTTTGTGGAAATTTTGCAAAATTTAGAGGAGGAACCTCACCTTTTCCTGACCAGACCGGCGAACAAAACGGTAATGCGCATGCGCGGGTCTGATTGGTCGATTTTCGGATATTTGCCTGGCGACGGGACAAATGAATGAGGCGCCAAATTCAAACTTATTTTTTATTTATCGCTTATTAATATTTACACAATTATTTTGGAGCCGATTCATTTTGTGGTTTATCCTCCTCCAGAAACTTGTCCCAGTTGTCCAACCGTTCGTTAATCTGCGCGTCAGTTTCTGCGATTTTAAACTTAGTTTTTCCGTCCCAAATCTCGGCGGTGAGTTGTCTTTTCATGAACCACCGACCGTTTAGCAACTTTACAACCTCGTCGGCCTCCTCAGGGCTCGACATGTTGATCTGAGCCACTCCTTCTGGGTGCCGGTCGTAAATCATAACCTTCCGGACTTCCCCGATTTTGGAAACTTCCTCTCTTAAGTCCTCTTGGAATTCCAGGATGAGGCCCACGTCCGTGTCGAAAATCGCCGGGTCGAAGAGGTTTTTCACAATGACGACTTTCTCGTGTTTGGCGCGCTCGTCTGCGTGTTTTTCCGGTCGCCAATCAAACAGTTTCTCTTGCATTTTTTTGAGTTTGAGTTTTTCTTTGCGTTTTTTCATTTTGGGCTTCAGTTTGGGGTCGTATGCGCCCTTCATTTGGAATTTGGCGCGCTCCACTTTCAATTTATGGCCCTTGTGGTCGTAACCGTCCAGTAAACTGAGGGCTAATTCGACTGACTCTATTTTAATGTAAGTGCAAAGGGCGTCGCCTTTAAGGTAACCYGTACCTGGCTCTTTGTACAACTTTATCTTGAAACTACCGTTAGTGGGGTCCTTCATCACGAGTCCGCATTTCTGCATCAAATCCACAAATTCTTGCTCCTCTATATCCGTCGGTAAATTACTAACGTAAACTTTTGTATTTTCGGTCTCATCAACTTCAAACCAAGTCGGTTCTGAAGCTTTCCGCTTCTCAGCTTTTGGTTTAGGTTCACTTTTCTCCGGTTTTGGGTCCTCCTCCTCCACCTTCTTCTCGTCCTTTTGCGTATTATTGTCAATAAAACCGTAATTCAATTGATACCTTGCCATAAACTCATCGTCCACTTTTGGAAACCAAGCACTCTTCTCCTTATCCCAGAAATATTTAACACCGTCTTTATCGGTGTAGACATGAGTGTCCCCTTCAAAACTGTACACAACTTCCCGCAAACGCCACTCACTTTTCTCAGAACTCCACTCATATTGGGTGCCAGTGTTGGGGTCAGTGTAGACGGCTAAATCCCCTTCATAGTGCACGTTTTTGGGGTCATATGACGCTGCATCTTGTGTAGACTCTGCTTTTGATACATTTTCACCTAAAAAAAGAAAGATTAAACCCTGAAAACACCCGTAAATAAATTACCACTAGGGGCCTTTGAAAGTTCTGTCGCTTCTAATTTTTGATCGGATGGAGCTGCACTAACCGCCTCACCTGGAGGTTGTTCATTTGACTCAATTTTCGACTCATTTTCGCCTAAAAAATAAAACTTTTAGCGAAAACTAAAGTCGGAGTCAGGAACTTACCACTAGAGATATTTGAAGGTTCCGACTTTTGTGTTTCATCCTCAGAATGCTTATTTTCCTCCATTTTGGGCAACTTTGCACCATTAATAGTTTAAATACATAAATATTTTGAAAAATACATTTTAGGTTAGTTGGAGACTTGTCAAATAAAATTGTGCTTTTACACAACAACAATCAAACATCGATTGTGCATTTGATTGAATTTTTTTAAGGCTACTTAAATGTTATTTGTTATCAACAGATGACAGGTTGATAAAAAACACAGTTTACAAAAATCAAGTTTATTTAAATATGTACTTATTTGCGTACAGTATATTATCATTAACACTGTAACAATTCTGCATAAAGTACCGATTGTGCATTTAATCGAATACTTTTAAGGCTCCTTAAATTATATTTGTTATTAACAGATGGCACACTTGACAAAAAAATGGTAAAAATACGCAATGATAAAAATCAATTTTATTTAAAATATATTTATTTGCGTACAGTACATAATTATCGCTAAATATTGTATAAAGGTATCAAGTTAAGTAATTAATCCCTGTAAAATTTCGTTTAACAACAACTTAAAACGTTTTCGTAGTAAAAATAAGCACATGTACAAGATCACAAGGGAATGGTTCATCCGTGTATAATACTGCTCCCACCTATAAGTACTCTAAGGCTAAGAGTCCTTCTATATCACTTCTAGTTTCATTTTTCCCGCCCTAGACCTGCATCGTAGACAACGGAATCGATTTAAAATTAGCGATGGATTCTTCAAGCAACAACGGTCTCTTTTCTTCTTTCTTCTTTGCTTGTTTTTTATTCCTACCCCTGTTTGCAACCCCATCTTCCTCATCCATCATCCTGATTATTTGTGATTGGTCAGAGGAGTCAATGGGGGCAACGGAGATATCACGAACGGCTCTGAATTTACCGCAATTGTTCAAATGTTCATTTTCCAATCGGAAGAAATTCCAAACGAATCTTCGGAAGACTTCCAAGGGTGATAATATGGACGTCATAATGTCACCACTGACGTAGCCATTTTCAGTCAAGTAGAACGAAATCGCCCAAGCGAAACGTAAAATGAAGTCTTCGACGATAGCAAAGTAGTAGAAGAACTAGAATTGGGGTTTTATTACTACAGTCGGAGAAAAAATTAAGTGTACAGACCGTGGAAGAGTAAACGATTTCTTCACGGAGGAATTTATTTTCGCCCGCTGATTTGTCGAAAAGGCCCCAATCCATTTTAATGTCCCAAGTGTAGGCGTAACACGAACTTACAATCGATGCGATTATGAAGAGGAAAAGGAAGGGATTTTCGCTTTGGTCGGGGTAATCACCTAAAAAAATTAATTACAATTCGATTAATAAGTGTTTCACATTGTTTTACTCTTATAAACTGATCGCAGTGTTGAAAAAATGACGACAAAAAACGTTGTTGAGTATTTTCCGGCGTTTACTAAATGAGGGAAGGCTTCTTTCGTGTCATAATACCGACGAAGGCACTGAGCAAGACGTATCCAAGCCGGGATACAATTCACAATAGGACGGATTATGTAATTTCTTTCCATACATTCGGCCGTATCTGGGGAAAAAAATTAAACGGGGAAGAAAAAATAAAGTATGTACCTCCAGCTTCCGCCCAGTCATCGCCATGCGTATAGTAGAAACAGATCAAAAACTGGAAATCTAAGAGTGCGTTGGCGAGACTATTGAGTTGATCGGCGAGCCAGAAATCGGCGAAGCCCACATGGAAGAAGGGGGCACCAAACATGCGGCCCTAAAACACCATTTTGAGTGTGTTCAAACTCGGCTTTGCCTCGCACTTACACAAATCCTCACAAACCAAAACCGGGCATCGTGTCTGAACACTTTCAACGGATTGAGCACAAAAAGCACCATGATTACAGTCAAAGCCAGGGGGTTCACATACGGAGGAATACTCAAACTGGAACTGTAGAGAAAACTGAGCAAACTCAAGGTCCACACGACCCCAAAAATAGCCGCCATTTCCATCAAATGTTGCTCGGATAGGTGATTTCGGGGGTCCAACTCGAAGATTAGCACATGGTTGACCCCCGAGGACCTCCACCCGTACACATTGACCCCTATTAGAAACACAAATTCGACAATTAAAAGGGGGCCTCGGTACAGTCGGAATGCTATTTTCAGATTCTCGCTAGCGCCGTCGTGGAAGATGGCCGAGAGGACTACAGCGATTAGAAGCACGATGAAGGAGCCTGAAAAGAGCCCCACTTTGAAGGTGGTCCACGGTGACTGCTGCTCGCCGAGCGGGGGCACACGGAGCCGTTTCATGGCCTTCTGGCGGTCGCCCCCTTCGAGCTCGTTTGTAACCATGTTTTCGGTGTCGTTGATGAGCTTGTCGATGTCTCGGTTGGTGAAAAAGTGGGACGTTTCGACGTGTTCCTCGCGCCATTTCGCCCCCACGTCGGTGTTGAGTAACTAAAACTGATTTTAAGAGCGTGCAAGGGGGGAAAATAATCAAAACCTTGTCGTGCTTCTTGAGGATTTTCCGGAAACCGGTGTGGTTCAAAGTTTGGTAGTTTTGCAACAGAATCAGACTTAAATAAAATTCACTGAAGGCGAGTTTGAGTTCTTGGAGTTTCCTCGCCGGGATGTGCTTTTTGGTCATCTCGGTGTCTTTTCTTTTACCCTGTCTGATGTGGTCCAGAGACACTCGCAATTCATTATTTAAATTTGCAAATTTCCGAGTGGCTTCTGCGAGTTTCTCTGAATAAAAAGTATTGATTTTTTTCAGTTCTTTGTCACTATAGTGGAAGAATTGTTCATCGAAATTTGCAAAGTGACGAGTTAGCACTTCCGGTTCGACGCTTTCGGACGAGGGGGCTTCCTCCACAGCCATATAAAGCATCGCTTTCATTTCCTACAATGTGAAATTCGCGCCATTAGTTAGTTGGGCGTGTTCCCACTAGGTGGCCAGACTTCCCCTAACCTTATTTTTTTAAGAAAATTTTGAATTTTTGGGGCTGAAACAGCACGTAGCGTATTTTTTACGTGTGGGTTCATCTAAAGACACTTATTTTTTGGTCAGTTACAGCGTGGGGGAGTTCGGGGTTAAAATCCCATTTGGGGGCTTACCTCGTAATTGATGTATTGTTTCCTCCATTCTGGAGTGATGTGAGCTGAAAGATGTTCAGCAAATTTCATCTTTCATGCATTTATTTCAGTTTGGAGGCTGGTGAACAACTGGCTGGTTAGGCACTGACTCCTATTGGTTTTATCATTGTTTATTGTAAACTTTTCATTAAATACAACACCGAGTAAACAGCTATTCGTATTTATTTATCACATAACAATTACGCTAATCAGAAACACAAATTTTCTTTCATCTGTGCGAACTGCAAATACATTAGCATAATAAGAGTCTCACTTGGAGATAAGCAGATTTTAGAACGAAACAATAATTATCAATTAATTTTATCGTTATCTAGAGCATTCTTACATGAGGAATTTAATGGTCGAGGCGATTTGGGAGCATTAAAGTATCGAGAAATTATCACACATAACCTCATTTTTCTACCAGCATTTTTTTCATGAGTAATCCCATTCCGAGCGTTCCAAAAAGATTATTAATACTTTTAAGCTGAAATTAAGTTGTTTACAATTTACGAAACCAATTTAATAAATTGAAACATTTCCAAAACTTGAGATCGTATCAGTAAGAATAATCTGATCAGATGAAAAATGTTCGCACAATGTAACAATTGCCGAGAAGAATACAAGTTCATTTTCCTCAATAAATATTTGTTTCTCGATTTTACAACACCATAAAGACATTAAATTTATTACTAACACAAATCAAAATAATTTATTCCTTCCTATTGTTAAATATTTACAATGTAGTACAAATGGGTTGTTATCTTATTAAATTACTGGTGAAAAGGCTCAATCTCTTTAAAGACTTCTTTATTACTTGCATCTGTTGAAGCATTGTGTTTAGGAAATGAGATATCAAAAAAATATGACAAGGAATCATCAAGTTACGTTGTATGTAATTATGTAAATTATCACAGTAATATTCCATTAGACAGTCGCAATGTAAAGTTTGTAGACTATATCACCACCAAATTTTCCGGGTAATTGCAACAATACCGGAAAATTCCGGGTGGTTTAGAATTAACGACCGATAAGTGAGTGATTTAGGCCAACATTTTGTTTTGTTTTCCTCCCACATATTTTTTTTCTATTTTCCTTTTACTGTAATTAATTCACAACAACCTACACACAATCAACAAGGTGTATTAGCGATGAATATCAAATTAGTGTTAAAAAGTTTAATCTACTAGTTGCAAAGTCAGCTTGATTTATAGCCCCATTAAGGCAATTTTGTTGTTTAAGGGGCATAAATATCGGTTCAGGGTTCATTTCTCGGAAAAAATACGTAAAAATCTTCGAAATATAACAATTGGTGTATATTTGGTTGCCTGCTTTCAGGCGCTACTTTAATAATTTTCTTTTTTAACAAGTCATTCAGAATTAAGACAATTCATCTAATATACGAAATGAAATATAAATTCATCATGTCAACAATGAGAGCAAATCACTTTTATGCCGAATCATCTTTATTTCGTAATAACGGAGCCAAAATTGGATAAAATAGATAAAATGGCGTTGTTTTTTCTGACTCTTACTTTTTACTATTTCAATTGAATAATGAAATAAGAGTGTTAAATTAGCAAATAACAATCTAGCTTTTTAACATAGTCTTTGAATTTTTTGTTTTTTTTTTATAGTATTTTTTCGGTTTGTAATTATAAATTATCCTTGCCCAGTTAAAGTCATAAAGGTGTCAGGAAATAAAGCCCCACTTAAAACAAACTAAAAACTTTATTAGTCGTAAAACAAAGAACTTGATGCACTAGTAATAATCCACGTGGTAACAATAAAATCCCCAACGAATTTATAAATAGCCCCCTCGCCGCATGACCGCTAGACATTCCCAGATCGAAATCCTCATAAAAACTTGTAAAGAATGTCTCCGGTGTTCAGCTCGTTGAAATATTGAAATAGAGCCGTCATGCGGCGGTGGTGTTCCCCGTCATCACAGTGACCCAATTAGTCCATCCGCCCCCTCAGATAGAATGCGTCTTGGTCCTGAAATCGTACTTGAGGTCGCCTTCGATGTGCTCGGTAACCGGTTTGACGTCGTCGAATCGGTTTGACTTGGGCAGTGAATTAAAGTCAAAAGAGACCGGTCGGAACGGCTCCTCCAAAACCACTTCCTTTAGGTTTTTTTCGTCGTCGAAGTCTGGTACCTTCCAATCCGGTAATTTACCAACAAGGTACTTGGGTGGTTTCTTCCACGATGGGAATTTAGCCGACACGCTTGATGGACTGAAGAGCTTCACCGAGGTGTATTTCGGGAGGAATGGGGGGCCGTCGTCGTCGAGGTGGAAGTGGAACGGCGATGGGGCGAACGAGTAGGGCGGCCTTGCAAAAATTGAGCATTAAATTCGAAATTTGTTTCATATTATTTCATCAAACACAAAAATGTTAGAAAAAAAAACCTCAAAAATAACTTTCAATAAAAAATTTGAAACCTGTCTCTCTCATCGTGATAATTTTTAAATAAGTAAATAAAATCTGTTCCAAATTGCCGCAAACAACCTTAGCAACTGGAACATATACAATGTCAATGTCACACTATGATATTTATGAGTTTACAGCAGCAATTTAAAATAAATACTAAGTGATTTTGTGACACTACAATGAAATATTTCATGCCTTTGAAAATTTTTAACTTTTTATGTATTTAAAAAATAGTGAAAATGTTGAAATACGGTGGCTTCAATGAAATTGATGGCCTACAATTCTAAAATTAGGTTGGTAACATTGAAAAATGTAGGGACAAAAATAATGATGTTTGATATCTTCTATCTCTGTTTCAACTTATTTTTAGAGTCAAAAGCTACTCTGATGATAGATGAAAATGATGAAAATTTCTAGCAAAAATTGTTGCCAACTGTAGAATATTAATCTTCGCCCACTCTATACTATTATTTTTTTTTCGATCGTACGGTATGTCATGTTTGATTTCTTCTGTTTCTGTTATAGTCAGTCAGTCCTGACAACTTAATTTTAGAATCACAAGCTACTATGATCGAAATTTTAATTGGTGTTTTTGTAAGTAGACTTTCTATATTTTAAATTATAATCATCATTGTTGTTCTTTATTTAAGAGATATTAAAATAAGTTTAGCAAACACCAGATCGATTTTCGAGTGTTTTTTTTTTAAGTGAAAAATCGTTTTCCGGGGAAAAAGTGATAAAAAGCTTGTTACAAGAATTGTTGCTGTGCAAAAATTTTCTTTGTTTGACTTACAAGTGTTAAAGAATTTTTTTGAGTAAACTACCAGTTTTTGTGGAAATAAATTAGTGAATGTTAAAAGGTTGTAACGAAGCGATGCCAAAATATTTTTTATTTTACTTAATTGTTTAAACTTTTGAGATTACCATACCTAATAATTTTTTTCTTAAATAAAAAGGTTTTTTTATTGTTTTACAAAGATATGTTTATTTATCATTTTATGATTGTACAAAAATATTTATTGAAAATGTTACAATTTATGTTAAAAAAATTGTAAACTTTATGTGTGTCAAAACATTCTTCCACCGGCAGTGGTAAACACATTAAGCTTATTAATTACGCCTTCTTTGTTTTTCTCGTAAGTATAAACAACTAATTAATAATGATAATAATAATAATATATAATAATAATATTGATATTGAAATTTTTTTGAATATCATTTTTAGAGCCATTTGCCAAAAAAAATTGATAGTTTCATCAGAAAAAAATCGTTTCCAGACTTCTGGACCACCCCTGTTGACACAAAACATGAAATATGTCATGTTTGATATTTTCTGTCTCTGTTATGGTTAGTCAGTGCTGACAACTTAATTTTAGAATCACAGGCTACTATAATTAAAAATTTAAATGGTGTTTTTGTAATTAGGATTTCTATTTTTTGAATTATAAATATTACTCATTGTTGCTTTTAATTTTAGAGATTTTAAAAAAAGTTTGTCAAAAACCAGGATGAAACACCAGATTTATGAGTCTTTTTTTTCGAAACTGAATAATCGTTTGTTTGGAAAAAATGCTTATGGATAAATAGAATTAGCTTTGCGAACATTAAATAAAAAATGTTTTGGCAAATATAAATACATAATCGATAAACGTTATTAGCAATTTTTATGTAAAACTTACTTTACTTAGAAAAAAAAGTACTACTAGAAATTTTATTGTCATTTTGTTTTCTTTTTTCACATCTGTTGATTAAACTGAATTACTTCCGGTAAACAGGAAGTAGTAATCTCTCAGGTATTGACACATGTAGCATTAATTGTCATTAATTGAATCGTAAAGACACTTTCACTTCAAATGGAATTAATCTCAAAGTGTAGAAATTAAAATTTTGAAAAATAGAAAATGGAAAGTTGGCCCAAAATTTTTCCACTCTGAGTTATTTTTTTTAAATTTATTACAATTTATTTTTATATCCTTTCATCTTTCGGGCAAACCCATTTATGGTATTATAAGCGTTACTATTTATTGGTAATAACTAATAAAAATAATAAACAAGCTTTCTCCATTTGATACAAATTGACGGTCACTTTAAACAAAACAAAATTGAAAAACGGTAATTGTTCCGCAATAATTATGCAGAATTTTGCTAAATTACTGGAGAATTGTGTGAAATTTCGATGTCATTGCCATCGTAAATGTTCCGGTTAAAATTCGTGTTTCAGTGACTGGTAGAATTTCAACTACTTAATTAAATTTTCCGCTACTTTAACTCCGTTCTATTTAATGCAAATGTTTCATTACTTAAGTAATTTCGCATAAAGAAAAATTTATGAAAACCTTGGTGTTGCCATTTTCGCAGGAAAAATCGGAACATTGCACCAAGCAAGAAATTCATTTTATGCAAAACTTCGATTCAACGAAAGGTCACGACACAAAATGGAGATTTCAACGTTAAATCAGGACCGTAAAACTCATTCAAAATTGGTCTAATTTTTTAATTGCTTTAGTGCGGAGAAAGGACAGTCTATTCATCTCTGAGTAATTTTCTTGTTTGCCTGCACATTTCTCTCGTTAAAATCCGTTTGTTTGTAAAAATTCTGCACAACTCTGGCACTCATCACAAAAGCAATTCGCAATTAACTTTCAACTAATGAGTGGCCATTCCACCTTCTAAAATATTAAATCATTCGATTCTTTCCACAGTTCATCCGCTTTCCCGTCAAATAAAAAAAATCAAATCTGTTTTCTACTTCGCCCAACCAATCGGAAAGTTGCGACATAATTGAAAAATTCGAACAAAAAACCGATCGAAAGTCATTGCCAATGGAAAGTGTTTTGATCACAAATAATGCACCTACCGGGAGAAGAGAGCCTCGTTGTGGGGAAGCGCCACCACGGCCAGGAGGAGCACCTGCAACGAGACTTTTTCGGAAAATTTTGACAGGCGAAGACGCCGCCTACCTTGATGCTGCAATGAGGAGTCATCGCGCCACACGCCTAAATCACAACACTAATAAGCCGAGGAAAAGCTGAATATTTATCTTGGAGAATTATCACGTGACAAAATTGATTATGTGATATGAGGGAAGAGTTGCGGTCGCAGACTCGCCACCTCTGGATTTGCACTGATCGTGATTAGGAGTATTGTATGCGGCATCTTTTTTAAGGGAGATTTACTTTCATGGGTAATTGGCGTTATTAGAAAGGAAAAGTGCGGAACTTGAATTAAAATTGCCGACATTGCACGCTGATAAGAGGTGAATGGAATTGAAGAGAGTGGAGTTATTATTATTTTGCGATGATTTGACGATGAGGAATGAGATTGATTTGAAAATGTTCAAGAACAAAGTACGAGTTTCCATTTAGAAACATAAAAGTAAAGAAAAAGAGACTTGTTAAAATGTCTATTGCAAAAATGGCCTTAGAGCATATTATTTCTTAAGTTAATCGTTAAGTTTGGATTTCAGTGCTAAATTAGGAACAAAAAATTCAGCATGATGCCATATTTTGTATCACTAGTTTTATGATTCAAAAAATTTGTTATTTTTCATTTTACGGTTTTGAGAGCGAAAAGTTGTGAGTGGGAGAGAGAAAACTAAATATTATTCAGGTAAAATAATAAAAACTAAGGAAAAGTTTAAGTACAGAGTTAAAAATTAAATAAGTGGAAGAAAAATCGGTTTGGGGAACAAAAAAAAAATGAACTCTTATAATTTCAAATTAATTCTTCGAATTCGAACTTAATTTCTGTATTTTTAATAAATACAGCGTAATTTTCAAAAAAAAAATATCTCTGATAATCCTAACAAGACTTTCGGTAATTCCAGAAAAATTCCTGTAATTCACAAATAATTCCAGTAATACTAAGCAATTTTTATCAAATTCAAAAATTTGTACAACTAATTCTAAAGTTAACTGCCCTTCGGAGAAAACTCAGAATAAAAAATCAGAATAAAAAAAATATGTGAGATAGAAAAAGTATGAAAATTATACAAAACTAACGAAGAAAATTAAATAAACTGATAATGAGAAATGTTATAAAGTTAGAAATTATGATAATTAATTACTAAATTAAATTTCTTATAGACTGGAAAACATATTAAGAACAATATGTGAAAATCTACAAGTTTTATATATTTTGGTGTTTAAATTTATTGCCAACTTAATTTTCAATTTACAGGCACGGTATTTCCTAATAAAAAAATACAAGTTTAGAACACTGCACAGACGAAAAAATTTGAGAAATAAGAAATAAAATAAATGAAACAGTAGATGTAGAAAATTAAAAACAATTTAAATTATGTGAGAAAAACAAAACTTAGCAAAACTAAAGGCAATTTGGAAATTCAAAAGTTGATGTGAATTGATTTAAAAAAAAAACCTTTTACTTTCATATACAGAGTGTCAGAACTCGCGCTTCAGAGTAAAATTTCAAGTAAGGTAAGATACCAGGACCATTTAAAAAATTCTTGCTGAAAAAAAATTTTTACATAATTTTTTTTGAAATTTGACATTTTTTTATGTCTATTTTATAAATATTTAGTAAAGATACCAGTAAAAGCCACAAATAACATTAAACAGAGTTGCAATTTAGGATACAGCTTCCTTGTTTCTTCTTCTAATAGCCTGTTGCAAAAAAACTTGGAAAATTATTTTTCCAACAGGAATAAATAGAGTCAAAGTGCAAAATTTAAACCCTCATAAATTTGAAATTTTTCTAGATAAAATTTTTTTTAACATTTTTTCCATGTTCCTTGTATCTTACCTTACATGTTTCTCTGGGGCACGGTTTTCTGGGGCATCATGTATATAACTAATTGTGTTAATTTTTCATAGAAATCAAAAACTTTTTTTTTTGTTACAGCCGCATATCTCAAAAACGATTGATTGTGGAGTATTTTAACCTTTTACATCGTATTCATTGCGTGATTTTATGACTAAAAACTATATTTCAAGCGTTTTTGCGACTTAAAGTACTAAATCGATAATTTTTACGATTTACTCCGAACTCAATTAAAAAATTCAAGAAAATCATCGTTTTTCAAACTCAACCCAATAAGGTTTAATGCACTTTTTTAAGTCTCCAATAAGACGCCTAGAAATGTAAAAAAACGTTATTTGGTTTAATTTTGAAATAGCTACTTTTTAAATTTTGTCGAGATTTTTGTCGATTTTCGGTACCCGGAACGGTCTATTGCCAATAACTCCGGAATTATTAACGCTACTCTTTTGTGTTTAGCACCGTTGAAAAGCACTTTTAATTTTCTATCACACCAAAAAAAGATCATTGTCCTGCGATAAATAGTTATCGAGAAAATTGCTGGTAAATTCAAAAATATTTGAAATATAAATTCTAACAAGGATATCTTCTAAACTTATAACTTTTAAACTACATTGCAAATTTTACAGTTTTCTCGACTCCCGGAAAAATAATAAGTTGATCGATCTTTTAACAATTAGTACCTACCGGACAGAAATAATTCGATTTTTTAACGTCCCAACAACGATTTTTGCACTTTTCTGTATCTCTTATTAGTTGGCTATTTCCAGACCTATGATATAGGTACAAATATGTCAAAATATGCAACATATTTTCAATAAATCAAAACGAAACATGTCGGAAATGATAACATGTTTTGATCTTCTAGAAGATCACTGTCTAATACAAAAATAGAAAGTGTTTTAACAGACTTGATTCAATTTCTTTCAAGCAACTTATTGAGCACTGAATTCATCTTAAATTTTATTGAATGCGTCCGATAAACCTTGTCAGTTTGTAGTGAAAGTTGTCCAAAAGAATCATAACAAATATAAATAAAACATCAACTATTTTCCGTTAGGAAACGTTTAAGACTTTGCTTCATTTTCAACACCTCGCTTTTTTACTAAAACGTGGAATGTTTCTCGACACCACCTTGAGATTAATTATTCGAAAAATATTTACATCATTGCAAGATCAAGACCACGAACCAGCAACTTGATCTTATGAAATACTACCAGTCAGATTTTTCGATAAGATCACTCGTTTATGAAATGAAAGTTGTCTCAATAAAAACAATCATTTCAGGTTCAATGTCCAGGACAATATTATTACATCGTGGCGAATTTATGCAGTCATTTAGCTTCCGCAACCATGCAAAAAATGAGATTAATTCAGATTCAGTGCAACTAAAAAGAAATGTTATCGAGAGTTGCAAATGAAATCAGATTAAAACACGATCCGACCTTAACCTTCCTTGACCTCCACTATTACCACTTTCACTGGCATTTTTCCAAATGATTAACTATTTTTTAATTTTAATTGGCTCCAAGCCGGGCAAATAGAGAAAGATATTACACATCGATTGATGTGAAAGAAATAAATAAATAACAAAAACTGGAAATAAAACAGTGGCAACAAGTCGTTTTTATTTAATTGTTTAATTGAATTATTTATTTTTAATACAATTGATATTATTCTGTTTTTTTTTTAATTTTCCCATGTTGTTAAAATATGTTCACATATGCATCTAAACTGGATTCTCCTAGAAAGAGAGCACCGAATAGATTAGCCCACGGCATGCTTGGATGCGTTTTTCTTCTACTTTCATGATTCCACCATTCGACATATCTTTTTCCTTTCATTTTACCAACAAAATCCTACCATATAAATAGCCTCTCGCCAACTCCTTCGACCATCACAAATCTCCCGGATTTAGTGCAGTGCATAACTAACTCTCTAGTGTAAAATCATCGTAGCCACACACCCATGGCTTACCGTCTTGTGGTAACCCCCATCACCCCAAAACCACCCCTGATTAACCCCATCTAATTACAGATAGCCTCCTTCGGGATTCTTTCCTTGCTGGGTCTGTGCGACGCCGGCCACCACGGGTAAGCCCCCAAAATCGACCCATGACCCCCCCATCTAACCCATTTCTTGCAGCCACCACCATAAAAAGGTCATCATCCACGTCCCCTTCAAAGTCAAGACCATCCACCACACGCACACTATCGTGAAACATGTGGGCCACGGGGGTGGCGGCGGCGGCGGCGGCGAGTACTACAAAGTCATAG